CCTTGCCTGTGGATAATTAATTGAAAAATCCTGGGCCAGTGTCTTTCGAAGGGCGCTGAAATCTGCCTGGAGGAATGTGTGACCTAAAATTGTCCAGGAGGGAGTCTTTGAATGCTGTGTAGAGGAACCTGGGCCTTCATTTGGCCCTGTTGTTAATGACAGTGACACTATAACAGAGTCCTTAGATGTGCAGGTAGACAGCAGTAATGCTGGGGAACTGTGAAAGAACACTCAAGAAGCGTCTGCTGAGGAACTTCAGCAACTTTCAGCTGAGCAGCAAAGAATGGCAGCTAAGGAGCTTTCCAAAGAGGAGAGAGAATACCAAGGGTCAGTATAGCAAAATTCTTCTGAAATAAAGAAAGGAAACCCTGAAAAAATGGGCAGAGCTACCTTCATAGAAAAGACACACTCATACAGAAAACGCCCACATTATATTCAACTTGATGTCTTGCTATAGAACAGAGTTAAAGAAAAAAAGAGAAACAGACAACATTAGACTGATGTTTGTTTCTGAAAAGGTTGAGACCAAGTAAGCCAGAAACAGGTCCTACTAGGCTGCAGACTCCCCCAAAGAGAGAAGGGACATCCGAAAGCTGGATTCCTGATGTTCTTGTGGAAGGGGACTCTCCTAAACAATAGCAACCTTCCATTTCAAACTCCCCTTCTGCAAACCAAAGATGTCAACTTGAATGGTGAGTGCAGTATGAAACTTGTGTCTGGTAAACTAGGCACATTTTATATCTTTGTAAATGCGATAGGAAAATTATTGGTGTTTCTGGTAAATTACACACGTTATACAAACCCTTTTAATTATGAAAAGCTTAGTTAAGAAACACTTTGGGAGGTTCAGAATGCATTAATGGGTATTTCCATTGTTTCTCATGGGAAAAATAATCTTGGGTTACAACCCACTTGAATTACAACCAGCCCTTGTAAATGAATTGAGTTTGTAAGTCAAGGGTCATATTTTAGGAGCGGGTCTAACCACGTAGGCTATGTAGACCAGGTTTTTCTGGTTTTTGTGAGTTAGAATCTCATTAAATAGCCTGAACTTTTAATCCTTGTGCTGGGAGGATCACATCAGTCTTATATAGTTCTTTTTTGTTATTTTTATGCTTAACCTTGAGTTTTATTGCTTGGGGGTAATTTGTGTTCTTTTGTAAAGTCGGATATTATTTGTAGGGGAAAAGGTGTGTCTTAATTATAAAGATTATATATGCTTTCTATTATGAAAAAATAGTATTGTTAATAGTGCTGCCATGTTAACTGACAAAAAGAAGAAAGCTATGACTGTAGTGTTGTAGATTAGTTCTTAAAAAAAAATGCAACCTTTTTGTATGATGCGTTACAAAGACGCTTTTTCTTTTTTGTAGAACCAAGGATCCTTGTTTAGATACTAGGCAAAGGGTCCACTAAACTATATCTCAAGTTCAGTAAGTATACTTTCTTAATAGAGAGCAAATATCATGGCAGAAATAAAAATCGTTTCCAGATTCAGGGCTGGAAAGCAAAACTCTCATGAAACTTAAATTTTAGGGAAAAAATATTTTCTCATAGCTCAGACATTAAACTCATAAACTGAAAGAAATTCGCATCTGTTTATTAGATTTTTAAGGAAATGTGACCATGCTGACTGAATGCTAAGGATAATGTGTTTAAAAACAATACAATCAGGGGAGACTAAAACCAAGATTTAAAGCAGTAAGATTTGAGGATTTTGAAACCTGGTGTTTATTTATAATTATAACCTACTTACATTTCATGTGTGGGAAAAGTTCTCTCTTAAACTCATATCATTGTCTCCATTATATAAAAATCTATTATAGAGATGTACTTACAGAGAACATACTTGTTACAACTTTAAAAGAAAAGGTTAAAGAGAATGATAAAAGAATCTGTAGTTTAGTTTCCTTTTGTAATACTTACTAATTTTTGAGGTAGTCTTTTACTTACTAAAAGAATTATCATACCCTTTGCTGAATTTCCACTGCAAGTTTAGTTAGAATGAGAAAAAAATCTCTTCAGTTGGAGTAGGTTTTTCTGAATTTCTAAAAGTAATAAAATCGTTAATATCTTTCCCTTTTACTCTGGCACTTGTGTTCTCTGCTTGAACTCTGGAATTCTTGGAAGATTTAGATTTCTTCAGCACTTAGAGCCCCTGCAATATTTTCCTTTTCACTCTAAGGCAGAATGCTTTTCTACTAGCTACTGAAGCTCTGAGACCAACTATTTTATTATGGTTATGTGAACTCATTTATCTGTCCCCCCCCACACACACACCTAATTTTAAAAATGAAATCATGGCACCTTTTATAAATACATAATGTATGAGTATATTTTGTTATTTTTATAGCTAAGATGTTTAATAAATTAAAAAAATACATTTTGTTAGATTTGAATATTCAAAAAATAAATCATGTAATACCATTTTAATGTCAGATTCCAAAATCCTAGGATATGGAACTAGTCTGTATAACTATCCATATTTGTTCAACTCTGTATTTGATAAAGTTGGTAGTAAGTTTGGTTAAGCTATTTCATTGCTGAATATATGCACCAAAATTACTTTTTAGTGAAGTAGATAGAACTTTGAAAATTAAGAGAAATAAAACTTGAGTAAATGGAACAGTTTTCCATTTTTGTGAAGTAGAAAGAATAGATTGGCTTACTCAGATGATTTACTCTATATACTAAGGTGACATCCCTTTTAATGTGAAAAATTTCAAAGTCATGCAGAAGCAGACAGAATAATCATCTTCCGCAGCTGTAAGGGTACATAAGCACCCTTGTTTCATCGGCACTCTGCTAGCCTCAGACCAGTTTCGAAACAGAACCCAGGGCCGGGGATGTAGTTAAGCAGCACACGTGCTTGCCTGGCAAGTGTGAAGCCAGGAGTTCAATTCCTGGTACAAAACAAAACTACCCAGAACCTATAAATCAGATAAATTTCATCCCTAATATTTTATTTTGTTTCTGTAAGAGAGCATCAGGCCTTAATTTTTCAACATGTGAACTGATTTAGTGTTTAGTCAGTATATTATGTTGAGCAAAAAACAGGTCCCTTGGGAACAAGTGAACTCACTCACGTTGGTAACTCTTCCTTGATTTTTTTTCTCGAAAATTCACACTTACCTAACTTGGGTCCCCATCTTTCCCACTTCTCCACAAGGGGGCAGATAAAGGAAGAGAGAAATGACGTTTATTTATTTATTTATTTATTTTTTTAGAAATGAAGTTTAAATGAACCTGGTTTAAGTCTCACTGTTGTGAACTGAACATTTTGGGGATCACTTTTCAGAAAGAAGCAGTGACATATTAAAACAACTCAGTGCCCTTCCTTCCTCTTTAGAGAAAAAATGTTAGGTTTCTTAACAGGGATAAACAATCAACTTCCAAGAAATATTATCCTAAGCATTGTTAGAGCCTTTAATTTTCTCTGTGTTCAGTACCTTTTCTCTAAAAACAGTGATTTGGGATTTAATGAAAATATGACATTTGAATTTATAAATAATTGTTATAATCTGTACTCTGTAGTTTAGAGATTTCTCAGATTGTGGTGAGCTCAAGCCCAGCCCGGGCTACTTAATTCTGTGTTCAAAAAAAAAAAAAAAAAAAAGACTTCTCCTTGAGTGTCCAAATGTTACGTAGGGAGTTGAGCCTGGTGTTTGGCAGTGGAAAGGACATAGTGCCTGTCTTTATCTCCACGCAGTTTTTCCATTTCTTAAGAGCCTAAGTTACACACTGGGCATTGTGGCCCATTCCTATTATCCCAGCACTTTGAGAGTTAAAGGCAGGAGGATTGATGAGAGAGTTTCAGGCCAATCTGGGTTACAAAATGAATTCAAGGCCAGCCTGCACTACATAGTGAAACTCAAAAAGATCAAAAAAGATCTCAAAGAGATCAAAAAAAGAGTTTAAATTATTATAGCATTGTCATTTTGTGAGTTACGAAGACCTACAAATATATGGTGGTTACTTTATTTAGTCACATTTGAAGCATGTTTGGTATTGAACACCTGAATACTCTGTAAATTACTGTTTAGTCTGTGAGAATTTTAAATGCCTATCTATAAAGTTTTATGCCAGTTGATTAGTTCTTTGTTTGGACTTGGTATTTAGATACTTTTATCTGGGGGAACATTCTTCCTGCTCTTTGATTTGTTTTTCCAGAGAGACAGAGACAGAGATACTGCCCCCCAAAACTATATGCACACTTCAAGAAAAGAAAAATAGTATGATGTTTTTTCAGCAGATAGTGTTATCCTTGTATGAGGGACTTTAGAGAATGTTGTTTATCACAGAAAACCCATTACACTGTGGCCCTTAGAAAAGACATTGAAATGCAGGTGGAACAATCTCAATGACCAAGGTTGCCCAATAGCTGTTCACCATACGTTTGACTAATAACTGTCTAGAAGCTAATTGCCACCACTTTGAGCACCTCTTATAATTGTAGTGGCCAAAGGTAAATTGTATTAGTCTCATGTTGTCTCAGTAAATTTAGTATTAAAATACTTTTACAAGTTTTTCTTTTCCTGAAATGTATACATCTTTTTTGGCTGACTCTATTAAAAAAATTTCTTTTGGAAAAAGTTCTTCATAGTTGATCTGAAACGTACATTTTATATCTGTTGTTTTAGCTGTTGGTGAAGGGAAGTGATGGGACAAACCTGAAGAAATTAATTGTTCTCTGTATATGTTTTGTAAGTCATGTTTTTTCCTTCTGTTGTCACCATTAAAAACTCTAATTATCAAAGTTTCTATATCCCTACAGCATGACACATTACTATGAAACTGTTATCTTACATTCCTATAGGATTTTTTTTCAGTAGTTAATGCCTTTTATTCCTTAGCTTCATGCGTGAATTATGTAGCATATGTGAAGAGGCTTAAACTGTTTGCATTACATTCTTTCTGCATGTCTCCTGTTATATTTAGGGTATACTTATACTTTAGACAAAGTAAGAATGTTATTGTTGTTGACCTTGACACCAGATAACTGGGCAGACATTATATAGCTATGTTTGAATCCTCACAAAATGTGTTGTTGAAGCCAACAGAGTCCTGGCGGGAGACTCTTCTGGACAGCAGAGTTATGGAACTTTTCTTCACAGTAAGTCTGAGTCTTTATCTCTGGTAACAAGGGCTGTGGAAAAGAGGGAATGCCTTTGTATTTTTCTTAGACTTTTTTTCCTTAAACCCTTCTCATCTGCTTAAACAAAAGTTATATTAAGAGCTTCTTGTTAATTCATAGAGATATTATTTAGAGGATTTAATATCTTGAGTTTTTAATGTCAAGAACCTTTATGTTAGTCTTAAAAATGGAGCACATCAAAGGATTATTGTTTATGGGGGTTATAGCTGTTACTATTTATCTTATTAAAATTTAAACCAACGAGTAGGGGTGTGGCTTATTGGTAGAGCACTTACGTAGCATGTGTGAGATCTTGGTTCAATCACCAGCACCAGAAAAAGAAGCCTCCAAACCACAAACTGACAATGTTTTAAAAAAAGATTTAGTAATTCATTAAAACATGGTAATAAGTTTTTTTCTTTTGTTTCTTTTTTTCTTTTTTTTTTTGGTACTGGGAATCCAACTCACAACCTTGTACTTACCAGGCAAGTGGTAGAGCCACTGAGCTAAATCCACAGCCCTGTAGCAGTGTTTCACATAGTAATATAAATAACATTTTAATGAATAGCTATTTCTGAAAACAATTTCATGAAAAGAGTGGCATTGTTTTGCATTTGGTTTCTTTTTGTATGTTTTGCAATACTTGCAAATCTCTATAATGTCAGGGTTAATAGAACATAGCCAGACTCTCTGATCTAGTTTGTATTTAATTGGTACCTTTATCTCATGTCCTCTGGGAAACTCTGCCATATACTGTGTGACAGAGTGGGAAAGGCAGACACTATCTTAGCATTACCATGAATAGTTTTGGTCTCACAGTCAACAGGGCCTTAGGAGCCTTCAGGAATCCTTCAGGAATTTGAAAATTGTTGTTTTATAGTACTGTTTCTTGCTATTTCATTTTATTTATTTTGCGTGCGTGTGTACACACATGCATGCACACGCATGTTGTTGGGGATCAAGGCAAGTGCTGTACTATTGAGTATAATAGTGTACTTTTATAAGGCAGATTAAATTAGTATTATTTAACAGCATTTTACCTTAATTACAGTTTTATTATTGGCTTAATAGAAGTATGAAATACATTCTCACATTGCCAATGAGTTTTCCCCCAATGGAATCAATAAATACATATGTATGTTTATGTGTCTGTCTGGGTTGGAAGCTAATTTGCAGGATAGGATAAGTATACAAGTCACATAAAATGACTTGGGGAAAAACCCAAATAAGACCAATTCAGAGAAAAGAAGGAAGCTCTTTTGCCTAATTCCAACTGTGATAATTTCTTATCTTTTCATGTTTAAAAGTCTTATACACAAATCTTCCAACTACCTCTTTTTTGATTGAAAATTTAAAATATAACTGTTACATGGTATGTATTTTAAAATGTTTAGAACCAGATTACACATTTTCGAGTAAACTTATGAAGAGTGTTTTCTGTAGAAATGTTTGAACCAAACATTATACATTTTCTTTTTTAAATTAGAAATGATGACTAAAAGAAGTCAAGATCAAAGAGATAATTGTAGCTAACTTTTAAAACTCTGTTGCCTGTCTCATCTGATAGGAATTGTTTTGATGCCAATCCAAGTTCAATTCTTTGTATTATTCACTCAGTTGAAAGTAGATCCCACTCCAGCAGTTTTTGAAAAGGTGCAAAACTTGCTGGCAGTACTGGAAACAACTCCACCAAATCTGAACAGCTGTCTAGACAAACCAGACAGCTGCTCCTGTCAGCTGTGAACTACCACATGCAAATAACTTTTGAATTTGAAAGTTAACCCTTTTTTCGCTTTGTTATTTTAAAGGTTATAAATATAGCTATTTTCATTTAAGCAGTTTATAAACAGGGTTGTTATTGTTACAGAAATCCTAATGTCTAAGCTTTCTGTTTAATTCAGTTTTTGTTAAATTTACTTTGACTTACGTGAATTCATTAACAAACTTAAAGGTGTTTTTTTCTACTACTGATCACTTTCACACTAGATTTGAGTATATAAAAACACAGTTGCATGGAATCGAGACTTAAATTTGTTGATTATATTTGAAATTTTCCATAGTTTTAGTTGCATTCTGCCTTTTCAAAGTCTATAAGCTTCTAGATTTCTCTTTTCATTGTTAAGATCAGGAAAAAGCCACTTTCAGTCAGTTTTCTGACCTTGCTTATAAGTCAGTTCTTTCTTTGCTCGTTGCCTAAATATTGGTGATCCCATCTGAGTTCTCAATTTTGCTGATTACATGCTTCCTTGGGGCTGTCTCTTCCACACAGAGGACCTCAGGCACCTCTTCTCCGATGACACCTAAAGCTATATTCAGCACAGTCCGCTCCAGATTCCCCAAGCCTCATAATCCAAGTGCTTTGTGACAGTTACAATCTGGATGACCACAGATGTCTCACATTTAATATGTTCCAGGGGACTTTGTCATAGTACTGACTCACTTCTTCCTTGTACCTTGTGTTGATAAAGTAATCTTGCCATTTGCCACTTTGTCCTAGTGGACTTGCTGTCTGCTAACCCTCTGCCTCTCTCATATTCAGGTAGTAAATTCAATTTTTAACTGTATGATAATAAAGTTTTTGTGAAATACACTATGAGGGAACTCTTGTATTGCATTGGATAAAGAGCAAATTTTATATCATCTAAGAGTCATTTATTTTGAATTTTTCATGATTCATATTTCAGGGAATATAGATTGGGTTTGTACAATATAGGCAGGTAAATTCTCAATTGTAGACCAGGATTGAGCAGATAGCTGGCTCCCTGGTTAGAGAAAAGTGTGCGATGGGTTTTTCTAATACCAGACTGGTTTTTTTTTTTTTTTTTTTTTTTTTTTTGGTACTGGGAATTGAACTCATAACCTCATGCTTGCCAGGCAAGCGCTTATGCCGCTGAGCTAAATCCCCAGCCCTATCAGACTGTTTTGTATCAGTGGGTAGAATTATCCCTGGACATCTGCTTATGTGTTGATTGGTTCTAGGGTGTGATAACACAAATGTAGTTATGATTTTTTATAAAAAGCTTATAAGAATGCTAGATAGTATACATGTTTTAACATATTACATAAAACTTAAAATACATTGGACTATAGTTTGTAAAACATTTATATTCTATGCCAGGGATTAGCAAACTGAATTGTTCCAGATTGTAAATATTTTAGACCATACAAGTCATGTCATCATACACGGCTGCCATTATAGTACAGAAGTGGCCTCAGATAATGCGTAGACAAGCAAGCCTGGCCAATGTTCCTGTGAAGCTTTCTAAGTGCTCATTTAAGTGTGAGTTTTGTATAATTTTCATAAGTCACAAAATGTATTTCTTTGAATTTTTTTTGGTTCTTTTCTCTTAACCATGTATACATGAAAAACTTCCCAGGGATAGGATGCAATATAGGAGAGTGAGCCTAGAGCCTTCACATCAAGCTATATCACCAGCACCCCAACAGCCTTTAAATTGTTTTTTCTTGAGGCATGTTCTTGCTAAATTTCCTAGGCTTGGCTCAAACTTGCAATCCTCCCAGACTGCTGAGATGTGCCAACACACCTGTCATAGAAAAAATAATTCTTGTCTCACAGTCATACAGAAAAGACTGGGGATAGTGGTATATGCCTGTAATTCCAGCAGAGAGGCTGAGGTGGGAAGAGGTCAGCCGTTACAATTTAGTGAGATCCTTTTGCAAAACTGAGGGGGAAAAAGGCTAGGGGTGTAGCTCAGTGGTAGCATATCCCTGAGTTTGATCTTTGATCTCCAGTACCAAAAGCAAAAGCAAAACAAAACAAAATCTAAAAACAAAAACAAAAACCAGCCAAAAATCAGATTTGTTTTATGGGCTGTTATTTTTAGAGATGTTAGGGTGTTTTAAATTTCTTGGCTAGAACCTGAAGAAATTCAGATGTTAAGGGTTAATGGATCAATATCCAGATAAGGATTTACTATTCACAGTGACCCAGCACTGTACTATCACATACTTAGAGGAAGCATTCTAACTTTAAGTCATGTATAAATGATGTACAGAGTCAAAATGAAAATAGGCTGAAACAAAGGATAAATGTCCAACATAAAGTAACATTTACAAATAGTAGAGTTGAGTATGAAAGAGGCTGGAGTAAAGTATTTGTGCTGAGTAGAACATGGTCACAGTAAAATGTTGAGCACAGTAAGGTAAATAATTATCATTTAATTTCTTCACTGAATAGTCATTTGCTCTTTTAACTATGTCAGATAACAGAATACTTTAATATGTAATTATAGTAACTCTATAGTTAGAGAACAATATTTTGGGAGCATTTCTTTCATATAAAACACTAAAGGAACCTGGTGTTTCTCATCACTATTGTATCATTGGAATGTCTACATGAGCTTTTAGATGGATTTATGTGACATTTAAATAAATCTTAAAACTTTAAATATTGATAGCAGTCTATGATAAAAGTGATGCAAGCTGTAGACATTCTTGTAACTAGTGAAAACATGCCTGTATGTTGATTGAATGAATGAATGTCTAGGGATCAAATGATATATTGGTTTTCTAAATGTGCAACTGTTTACTTCCACTAAGGCAAGCGTCTATATACTCCTGATTGAACTTGTCTGCTAACTTTAGCAAGACGCTGTAGAGAGGCATAGTTAGCATAATACAGATGACTGTCGTCGTTGCTGTTTTTAGAAGAAGCAGTATGTCTGAGTGGCTGGCATCTGTTTCTCTCTTTGTCATAACATGCTGGATACAGTTCAATTTTCAACATGTAGGTAGCCCTCAGTTAAAAATTAATAGATATGTTTAAAATCATGGCCTGCAATGTCAATTGGACTGAGGGGCAATTTTCAAATTTACCTAAATTCAGGAATTAATTTTCTAGAAATAACCAGCAACAGTGGATTTTTCTGTTACCTCATTCGGCATGATAGACACGTGACCCTTACAAAAGAAGAATTTGTTTTTATGGATTAGTAATTCTTCCTAACAGGTACATCGAAAAATCAGAGAAGATTCAGATATGGCACAAGATTCTCTGCAGTGCCTTGCCCAGTTAGCGTCTCTGCATGGACCTGTCTTCCCCGATGAAGGATCCCAAGTTGATTATCTAGCACACTTCATTGAGGGGTTACTGAATACTATCAATGGGTAGGTATACTTGCCCTTTGTAACTGAAAGAGGAGCTTTCTGGTTTTTCCTTGTGTGTAACAGAGTAGGAAAAAGAAAATGAGTGATTTCCCCTATTCTGTATTTTCAAGGCATAGTATGACTAATTTGAAATCAGTATGCAGAGGATATACTTTAAAACGAAGAGGTGATAACATTTGCTTGTTTGGAAATGAGTTTAACTTCCTTAATAATCCTCATTACTTGATTTGTAGAATTGAAATTGAAGATTCTGAAGCTGTGGGAATCTCCAGCATTATCAGCAACCTGATAACCGTGTTCCCTCGAAACGTTTTAACTGCCATTCCTAGTGAACTTTTCTCCTCCTTTGTGAATTGCCTCACACATCTCACTTGTTCTTTTGGGCGAAGTGCTGCACTGGAAGAAGTGGTAAGTAGTGACTGTTTTAAAATAAACTATCTGTTTTTCATAAGGAAATGTATGCTGTCTTTGGAACACTTTATTATGATGTAATTATTTTAAGTAATTGCCAGTAGCTCTTGTTAAAATCACTGTTTTGTTTATATATGTAAAGCAGTTGACAAAATGTTTTGGAAACATGACCTTTAAAAATTTGTGAATTCAAATCAGTTTAGTAGATGATACTTGTTGGTTTTAAGATTTTAATTTTGAGATAATTAGAATGAAATGCTCCTATTAAAAATTGTTTCTACATTGTTTAAGAAACTCACAGGGTGCAGCTAACTTCCTCATGTGATGTAATTATGTGTATTGTATGTATTTTTGAGATTTAAAAATATTTTTTGGGAAATTACATAAGCATGATTCAGTTCAAATCATTGTGATGATGCTTGTTTTGCTTAGACAGTACTTTAACTTTTTGGTAGCAAGATTTAATAGTGTTACATTTTGGTAGAATCTAATTTACAATGAAAGGCTATTAACACTGGAGTTTTTTGGTGCCAATTTTCAGATGTGTAATTTGTAAATTTTATATTTAAGTGTAAAAAAACATATACTAAAATCCCTTGGCAACACAGCTGCTTTTGTAGCAGTTATTGTAAATAACTATGTTAACCATGGAAAATAATTTTTCTATAAAGTAGTTATTAAATTGTTGAAACACATTTTTGTTTTTATGGAGCAAAATGTAGATTTTTAAAGAAAAAGAATAAAAAATAGTATTTGTAGGTATCTGTTAGAATTTTGTGTTAAATCCTGAGTTGTTTTGGTGGTGGCGATCCGAAAGCTAGTGTCAGTTTTTCCTCTTTTCAAAGGTGTTCCATGAATAAAAAATTGAGACTGATTGCCTTTATGTTATGTAATCTGGCACTTTGGTGACTTTGAAAGGAAAGGACCCAGTCAGACAAGGTCTTATATGATGGGAAAAAAATGTATGTAATAGAGAGATATAAGATTAAAAGCCATATTATGTGGGATTTGAATTTCTTAGGGAGGTAGTTTATATTCTAAACATAGAAATGCATGGAAAATTAAGTATTTAAGCTTTACCCAAGATTTCATTCAAATGATTACAGATCTGGACCAGTAAGGTTTCATTAATATGACCCCATTGTACTTTCCCTTTACTATTTGGTTGGTTTATTTTTCTCTTCTAAGCCAGGTAGATTAAAGATTTAGCATATTGATTACATATTTAGAAACTTAGCTACCTTTTTGTTTCTTTTTGTGGTTAAGCATGTTCCTAAATTTGTTAAAAAATAATTGCTGGAAGATGTAAGATATATGACAATCTTAGTTTACAGATTTTGAATTTGAATTTATTTGTTTTGACCAGGAGGCTGACAGTGTTTAACATAAGAACCTTGGAATTAAGAATGTTAGGTGTGTTTTCAGAGTGGATGCATCTTGCACTTATTTCACAAATAGAGAAATCATGCTCTGCTTATGATGTACTTAATGTGTACCTGTTATGCTGTATCTAGTATGTTTCACTGTTCTTTTAAAAATCACTGACCATTTATAGTAAGGGGCAGAGGGAAACAATTTGTTTAAGGCTTTTGCATTGGTTGTAGAAATGACATTAGGGAGATTTGGTGACAGCTGGGAGGATGACTGTACTCAGACACTTGCGTGAAGACTGAACAAATCTTCCTAAATGTCATTTCAGCCTCCATGTTTTGTTTTGTTTGGGGTTTCTTTCTCCGTTTTTGTTTTGTTGTTTTATATGTAACTGGTACTATACAGCTGATAACAAGTTTATGAGTAAATCTAGTCAAACTACAGTGGATCTTGAAAAATTAAGGCATGTAAAAAACAGTGCGGAGCTCAGAATGAAAGATCATGAACTGTGACAGCAGTCATAGGCTGAGTAACCTAAAGTAGAAGGGCTTGGGCAAGGTGCTTCATTGTTTTTGAGTATGCTTCCTCCCTGGAAAAGTCAGTATAATAATTTTGTCTGATGTTGTGTGGCATTAGCTATATGAAAGTGCCTTGGTAGCATGCATAATAAAAGTTAGAATAATAATTTTTAAAATGAACCTTTATAATAGCATTGACTGACCGTCTATATTGGGTGTACTATCTTAAGCACATAGGACTGGTTATTGGGTTTTGTTCTGTGCAAACCAATGATTTTTTTATGATTTCAATTTTTTAAAGTTTTTATAATTTTAGTTTTAAAAAATGCTTTTCTTTAATATTGAAGGAATTTCTTTTCCCAATAAGCATGTAGAGTCTACATATAGACTACTGTTGTGATAAGGCTTTTTTGAAAACTGTATTTGTTTAGGAAAATCTAACAGTCTCTGAAGTGTTCATATCTTTGATGGTGATTATATTGTTATAGTGGAGGGGCATCTTTATGGGAAGAAAATTCTTGGTCTGCTAGTGTCTCTTGACATATGATGTCCTTGAATAGTAACTTTTACCTCTGTGTGCAGAGATTTGTGACTACCTTTTTATGTGTAGTGAACTGAGTGTCAAGAGAACAATGCTGTTTATAGCTACAAGTTCTGTAGCTGCTAAAGTTTCTTGGCTAAGAATTTTTATTGAAGCTAAGAATTTTTCCCTGTACTCCCAAAGTTGAATTTCTATCTCTTGTTGGATTGAAAAAGTGAGAATATAGAGATGAAACAATATTGCCTTAAAAATTAAAATCTCAGTAATTACTGTTCATGTTAGTATATCAACTCATAAAATATTTTAATACATTAATGTATATGTTTGAGTTAGTGTAGTGAAATTTGAGGAAAACATGACTCTCTATTCTAGTTTGTTTCTTGCATGTTTGGTCAGTAGCAAATTTTGCATTCACCATACACGGAGGCTCAGAGAGGCTATGCAACATGTTGCATTACATGGATAGAGTAGCTGTCCTGACAGTGACATTTTGTATGTGTATTTCGGCATTCACACATGAGTAGATGTACTTTACAATGGAAGAATTTTACATTCAATTTTAGTCTTTTTGATGCTTAATCTCTAGGTGAGCAGGCCAAAGTGGTAAGCAAAGGTATTGATAAAGTCACTAGGAACTTCATTAGAGTGTCATGTGCTAAAATCATTTGGTAATTTGTCAGGTGGAGGCATTTAAAGATTAGCATCCTGGATTCAAACTCTAGGTCCTCTTGTTTACAGAATGGTTACTTTGTGCCGAAGGCTGTGTGGTGAAAAGGGGTATATTGGAATAAAATCCCAGACTGAGGAGCAGCAGCAGAAGGTTTGGGGTCTGTTAGGAATAACAGGAAGGACAGTGGTAGTGTCAGCACAGTGTAGCTTGTATCATTGTCCCTTTCTCACAGAAGGATGGGTCATTTGAAAATCCCAGTTACCCTCTCCAGAGGTTCTGGTAGCTAGGAAAGAATACCTTATGACATTGCAGAGGGCAAGATGCTGCCAGCCCCGCTCATCTGTCCTGTGCATGTATTTCACTGACATAAGAGCATAGAAAAAATGGAGATAAGGTGTTGAATATTTTTTAGAACATTGCACAATGAAAATACAGTATACTTTTAAATAACAATAATTTTGTATAAAGGATATTTGGAAGAAAATTGACTGCTCATACTTAAATACATTTTTATTAAAAGAAAAATGTTAAGACTCACTCCACTTTTATTTCATTCTGGTTGGAGCATAATTTTATGCAGTGTTTTTTGACTTGGATGCAAATCAATTCCAATTATTTAAATCCTAGTACAGAACTATTGTTTAAGTTTTATACAATAAAACTTAAGATAGAGTACACTTGAGATAGAATACAGGGTATTGAATGAAGCTTTACTGTCATAACTGTTGTTCTATATCACATCCATGATATTGTTTATAAGGCTAGCATTAGAGACATAAACAGATCCATTAGATGTAGAGTTCAAAAGTGAGGTTTAAAAAAAGGGTACTGTGGGGCTGGGGATTTAGCTCAGCGGCATAAGCCCTGCCTTGCAAGCAGGCAGTCGTGAGTTTGATCCCTGGTACCGATGAAAAGGAAAAAGACCAAAAAAAAAGCGTACTGTGAACCATGTAAGCCAGAGGAGTCCCTGAATACCAGCCCACTAGGAATACTGTATTAATTCTGTAAATATGCACTATAAACATCACTGTGTGTGTGCCAGGCATGGTGTCTAATATTTGTGTTTTCCTTTGCATTAAGAATTTGGAAATTCTTCCTTTGGAAAATGTGTATAAAAATATGTCAATCTAGAGCACAAGATTTAAGAGTTCTGTATATTACAACTTGAATTCCTGATGTTTTTTTGTAGTGATTGTTGTTTGTTTAGGGATTTGTTTTTGGCTGGCTGAGAATTGAACCCAGTGCCTCATGAATGTGGGCAAACACCCTAGCAGTTAACTACCTCTCCACCTCACCCACTCCTTAAGTGATCTATCTGTAGGATTCTTCTAACAGCTGCAGTACTTGTCTACTAAATCAGTTTCTCTTGGGGGATTTCAGAAGCCAGGAATACTGTCAGCTGCATAGGTACTCTGAAGTTAATTCTATACTTTAAGGCCTAAGTAGGGGAGGACATATACATGTAAAGCTTAATTAATTTCTTTTGCATTCAACAAAGATTTCTAAATTCTGCCCCCACCTCCCACCCCAGTACTAGGGATTGAACCCAGGATGCTGACATTGAGCTACATACCCAGCCCTATTTATTTATTTATTTATTTATTTATTTTTATTTTGAGACAGGGTCTTACTAAGCTAGGTGAGATTCCAACTTGTGATCCCTCTGCTTCTGCATGGTACATGACTAAAAATCTTAGTTTCTGAAAATAATACTTTCTGAAATAAAGCTTATAAGATTTATGTATCATTTTTCTGACATTTTTTATGTGTGATTGCTACATATACCTTAAATGACTCTACAGTGGGAAAGAATCTGACTTTTACAACAGATGAATAATAGCATAAGTCAGTATGGCTCTTTCAGTCTTTGATCGTTTTATGTGTCCCTGTTAATAATTTACTCTATGCAATGCAAATATTATTTGTAGTATGTCATTGAGCTTGGGCATATAAATGTTAAATTATTGTGAAATATTTCATTCTTATAGTATAAAGAATAATAGAATAAATAACTGTATCAACCACTTAGGATTAGGAAAAAATATATTCATAGAACCTTCCACTATCTGGTGTTTTCGTTTTTGTTTTTTTTAACCTTCTGTTAGTGTAAGCATATTTTTGTTGCATAGCTCCTTTCATGCCTTCAAGTGGATGCTTATAGTGAGCTTCCTACCCAGTGTTCTTGGCACTTTATTTCAGCCTCTGTGGTCTTTCACAATTGACTCTGTTTTCACACACAAATTCTTATAAAGAATAATGTCATAGCAGCCGCTTTAGGCTGGAAATATGAAATCCATCATTCTATATAAAGTTAAGGAACTTGTTAAAAGTTATTCCTAGAAACACAGTTTTGTGTGAGAGTTCTGCACTTCTCATTGCATTTATTTTTACTTTTCTTAACCATTTTATGTTTGCATGTGAAAGTAATCCTGGTGTTGGGATGTAATTCAGTGGTAGGGCGCTTGCTTAACATGCAGGAAACCCTGGGTTGGATCCCTAGCACCATTAAAAAAAAAGAAAAAAGAAAAAGCAAAGAATTCTGATGATCAATAGAAGGAACTTTCTAATTTCATGGAAAAATAAAGTTGTGTTATTTGCTGTTCACAGGGAAAAAAATGCATTGTAGTGGGATAGATTATGGCAAATATCTACTAGTAACTATAATACCATCTTTATTAGGCATAGACTTGGAGTTTGCAGTATAATCAAATTTGTACCAGTATAAGGTTTATCTGGTATTTTAAAATGTATCTTGATACTACATTTATATAGATGGATGCAAATATAAGTATCCTCTATTTCAATTCTTTTCGATTCATAGCAAGAAATTGAGTAAAGCATGAGGGGCTGAGGCAGGAGGATCACCACAAGTTTAAGGCCAGCCTAACTACATAGAGACACCATGTCTCAAAAAACCAAAAATAAATAAATAAAATTTTAAATTAAAAGAAAAAAAGAAATTGAAATACAGAAATCCTTTCTCCTGTGGAACATGCACTTTCCTCCTGCCTACACGTGTCCCCAGTGAGTACCCCGTGGTGGTGTGGTACTTGTGTTATAGCTGAGAAACCTGCACTGATAAGTCACTGTCACCTAACATCCATCCTTTTCATTACAGTTCATTCTTAGTATAAATTCTGCAGGTTTAGATGTTGCCCACCATGTTAGTATTATTCAGAATATTTTCACTAGCCTAAAAACCTATTCCATGTATTCCCCTCCCCCAGCTTCTCACAACAGTGCATCTTTATTGTCTCTCTAATTTTCCTTTTCCAGAATTTCACATAGTTGGAAGCATATGGTAATACTAATCTCTGAAATTCAATTCAGTGTCGAAAAGGGGAGCAATTCATAATACGGAAAATTTTCTTCCCAAAGCTTCATTTGACATCATTTTCACACACAAAAAATTAGCCGTTACTGTATTTTAGAATTATGTGTTCAAAAAAAAAAAAAAAAAAGAATTATGTGTTCAACAAAGCAGTTGGGCAGATTTTTTCCCCCTCTGTCTGATGGACTACAAATTCACTTTTGTAAGCTCTTTCGAGTTAATTACGGTCACCAAGAGTGAAGTGCTGATATATTTTGATTACCTTCTCTACTCTTCATTTCCAAATGGAGTAAAGTGGGGTCAAGTAGTCTCATAAGCTCTAAGCCCCTCTCCAAAGCCTCCCTGGCAGCAGGCCTGACCATAGCCGGGTTATGAGCACATAGGCTCTAGCTTGGTGTCCTTAGTCATTTCTGCGCACGTGCTGCTGGCTTGACTGCTGGGTTTTGGCAGGATGGCCATGGAGCAGAGCCAAGGTATTATGAAAAAGCACTAGGTTAAGTTTCAGTTCTCTGTGATTAGAAGATGTAGCTGCCAATTGTCATCAACTGGATCTCTTGTACTTTGTTGAGTTAATTGGGTTGGTATCCAGGAGGATTTTTTAAAAAGAGAAATCTTTTGTTTTTATTTAAATCCCTGTTCAGTGTGTAGAGCTGCTTAGATCTTCTTGTGATCTGCTTTGTCCAATATCAGGGTTCAATAGAAAACATTTTTTGAGTGTTTGTTGAACAATAGAGAGGCATATAAGAATTACTTTGTATGAACAGACTTACATTTACACTTTTCTGTATATGAATGAATTGTCAGAAAATGTATGAATTAGGTATTAAAAACCCAGTGAAGAAGGGCCAGTGATACAGCTCAGTGGCACAGTACCTGCCTAGCAAGCACAAGGTCCTGAGTTCAATTCCCTGTACAAAAACAAAAATCACCTCAACGAAGATAGGTCTTAGAAAATGTCCTGCCTTTTTTTCCTTTTGAGACGGAAGATCAGAAGACACTGTTCCCAAGTTCCTATTAAGCTGAATTAGTAGTCTGTTTGCTTTGGTGAGATAAATGTTAGATCTAACAAATGATGTCTGTGAAGCACGTGCTTTGTTAAGTACAGTATATAAACAGACACAGATGTTTCTATGGAAGAAAGCATCTTATTTATCTCTCTATTCCACTACTTAGCATTTAATACACTTTGCTTAATGAATAAAACCACCTTTTGAGGGGCTGGGGATTTAGCTCAGCGGCATAAGCACCTGCCTTGCAAGCAGGCAGTTGTGAGTTCGATCCCTGGTAGACAAAACAAAAACAAACAAAAACAAACAAAAAAACCCCACCTTTTGCTGCTAATAAGTTGTACTGTGTTTATACATTTTATGAATTTTTGATCATTTTATGTACTTTCACCCTTAAAACTATTATTGATGATTTTATAGTTGTGTATCATAAATAATTATAATACATATCAGATATATGATTCTAAAACATAAAATAACAATGTATAAGCCTACAATCCAACTCAGGAGCATTCCTATTATTACCTGGTTGATATTATGTGTTCTGTGTATCAATCTCATCATTTCTTTGCTTTATGTTTTTTATGTATCCCTGTAAGATATGCCAATGTGTATTACATCATGATTTGTCTTCCTGTTCTCGTAAATGACCTTTCAAGCTTCCCTTTTTGCCATTATAGTGTTGCTATAAACATTCTTCTCCATGTTTCCAGTATATATTTTGCTGTTCCCTCCCTCCTGATTCCACCCTTTTGGGCTAGAGATTGAACTCAAATCCTCACACATGTTAAGAAGGTGCTCAGCCCTTTTGAGAGTTTTTCAAAGATGTGAACTTAGGAATAGAATCTTTGTTTTATGAATATTCTTTTCTTTTAGCTTGATAAAGATGACATGGTATACATGGAAGCATATGATAAATTGCTGGAGTCATGGCTAACTTTGGTCCAAGATGATAAACATTTCCATAAAGGCTTTTTTACTCAACATGCAGTTCAAGTTTTCAATTCCTATATCCAGTGCCATCTAGCTGCACCAGATGGCACAAGGAACTTGGTAAGTTTTAAGCCAAGTGGTAACAAAGTCACCACAGGCTGTATTCATTGTATTAAACATTATTAACACTAGAAATTTACAACATGCTCCCTCAGAAGATTTGCTGAGAGCAGAATGAACCTTGTTTCCTAAATGAGTTCTTGTTAAATGGGATGTTGCTTATCGTCACACTTTTTTCTGTTGCTAGTTGTCCCATGCTCATGAATTACTCCTATATCCAAAAGACCAGGATACCAGATCACATGGTGACATGTGAAAGACAGCAGAGCATTTAGTGACATGTGCAGTTCCCTAGTATGGGAAGTTGTGAAAATGGAAATATCTCTGCTTACCACATGCAATAGAAAGTAGAAGCAGTACTTCTTTTTCTTTTGTGTTTTCCTCCTTTTGATAACCACTAGTGCTGTTTGTATGGTAAGAAAGGAATCCCTAGATTGAAGATTGGCTCTGCCCAGCTCACCTTTCCATTTGTGGTACTGGAGCTGTTGTACAGGGCAACAAAAATTTGTTTCTAACTGTAGAAGATAGTCAATGCAGTTTCTCATTGTTTGTTTCTTTCGTCTGTAATAGACTGCCAATGGTGTAGCCTCTCGTGAGGAAGAAGAAATAAGTGAACTTCAAGAAGATGACCGAGACCAGTTTTCTGATCAACTAGCCAGTGTAGGAATGCTAGGAAGGATTGCTGCAGAACACTGTATACCTCTTCTGACAAGGTACACACTGTCCAAAGAAATCCCATGGAGCAAATATTCTCTATTCACAATTCCCTGGAGAGCACTTAAAGTGTTTAAAGACTTTAAACGCTCCTGCCCCGTATCCCAGCACACTGGACCAAATGGACAGAAACATACTCATGGTTGCATTCTTTGGCTTATACATTTGGAGCCCAGGCACTACAACACAATTGGCAGAGAGATTATGGAAAACATGGTATGAGAAATGATTTGACCCCTATCAATAAAACTGGGAATAACCAGTTTTCAAATGCCTGTTGTAAACCTTGATGTTTTTAAAGCATTTAAAGCATTGTTTAATTGTGTCATAAACAGTAAATCACAATTCCTGTAGTACTATGAGAATAATTTTGTACCATAGTGTTTTGTATATGTGTTTTTACACTAACATCTTGATTTATGTTGTCTAGTATATTGAAGTTGTAAGTTGTTTTAGGTCTTCACCTATTAAACTTGCTGTTGTGTTTTGTTTTGTTATCTTCTTTAGTTTATTAGAAGAAAGAGTAACAAGACTTCATGGTCAGTTACAACGACATCAGCAACAGTTACTTGCTTCTCCTAGTTCAAGCAGCATTGACAACAAAATGCTTGATGATCTTTACGAAGATATTCACTGGCTTATTTTAGTTACAGGTTGGTTCTTGTTTGTTTGTTTTTTAAATGTTGCCAGTAAAAAGTTTAAGCCCTAGAATTTAGAAACTTAATATCATGAAATCTGTATACTATATTGGATGAAATTTGAACGTAACTTTTCTACCACAAAGCTATGAATGCATATTTAAAAAAATACTGGCTCACATATATTCGTTGCCTGTTGTACACTAGATGTTCTATGTGGGTCTCACGGTAGCTCACTGAGTTAGTGCTGTTAGGTGTTGTTACTGTGATCATCGTCATTATCCCCATCCAGCAGAAGACGCTGAAAGTAAGAGGAACTAGCCCGTGGTCACACTGCTCCTAATGTCAGAGCCAGAGTGCAAACCGAGGCAGTCTGACTTGCTGGATCTTCTTCCTTAACAGCCATACTGTTAGCGTTTCTGTATTTTAAATAATCAGAAAAAATCTTGGCTTTTGGAAAGGCATTCTTCAATATTGATTTCTTATAAAGATAATAGCAGAATTCCTATTCACTGTAGAAAGTAATTATTGAAAACTATAAATAAGTAGATTAAAAAGCCAACATGTCAGTATGAATTATAAAACTGATGAATAAAACACTTTTCCTTTGCTATAATTTTGAGATTAATTATCTAAGAAATTGAAAGGTTTTTCTCATCGACTTGAAATTAACAGAGTAACATTTATAATTTACCTTTACATCAATTTATGTGATGTATATAAAACAAAATTGAAAACATTTATAGTACAATTTGGTAAATATAGATTTGTTAAGTGTTCGTTTTTAATTTTTTTTAAACTGAAGGCTACCTCTTAGCTGATGATACTCAGGGAGAGACTCCGCTAATACCTCCAGAAATAATGGAATATTCCATTAAGTATTCATCTGAAGTTGACATTAATACAACACTTCAAATTTTGGGATCTCCAGGAGAAAAAGCTTCTTCCATCCCAGGGTACAACAGAACAGATTCTGTGATTAGGTAATATGAACTCTATAGCTGTGCTCTTGTAATTTATACTGTTTTAAAAATTCTGAGTTGATGGGTAGCTGACTGGACAGAAAGGCACTTTGTACATCGGGCACATGAGGGAAAGAAAACTGGAGAAGCCTGAAGTATGCAGGGATGTCAAGCTCTTAGTAGTATGCAATATGTTTAGGCAACACCACTTGAGTGGAGATTGACAGATACATCCAGCACTGAAAAAAACAAGTATACAGTTATGCTAAATACAAGACCCCAGAGAGAGATTTAGTCTAACCTACAGCAAACACAGTACTTGTCCAGAGAAAACAGTACATACAACCTTAGTAAGCAGAAAAAAAAAAAAAAAAAAATTAAGGTTGTTAGAAACCAGATATATATTAACAAGTATTTATTGTTCATGATATCTAAAACTGTTCCAATGGCTTTCTCAAGAAAACCATAATTCTTATTTTTAAAGTGAAACTACTTATCCTGAATCTGTGAATCTTGAGAGCCCTGTTAGAGACAGTTACAAAATAACAGAGTACCTCAAATGAGAGGATTCACAATTAGCAAGGGCAAAATTTTCATCAACTCTTAGTTGTGCAGTTAGATGAGCCAATCAGAAATACATCCGCTTCTGGCAGTGAATTTGAAAAAAACATTTTAAATTTCAGCATCTTTTCCTTTAAGTGAAATTTAGGTTGTAAACAGAGATGTCAGTAGTAACATTTTTTATCAGTTGTAAGATCAATAACAAACAGAGCGCTACCCGTTTATTCTTTTTTAAATGCAAAAATATGCATGTCACTTAAACCCATGCAACAGAAAATACTATTTTTTGCAAATTGAAGTAATAAACTCATACCAGTGAAATACTTGGAAATTTATTTCCTTCATTGATGCCTGTATTCCCTTGTAAAGTAAAATGTTGATACTTCACTGGAAAAGTTCAAAAATCTTTCTCTTGGAATGCTATAGTCATTTGATTTAAGGTCTGTAGAAATCTGTGCTTTTACTCTGTTTTGTGGTAAATGTCAATTACAATGACAGTTCACTTCAGGGTTCTGTCATTTTATATTGTCATATTTCTTGCCTAGCTGGTACCTTTAGGAATGCTTTCCTTATACCTTAAGTGCTTTTTCAACTTCTTCCAGTCCTAGGTATCAGATGCGGGAGGAAAACATTTCTATATCTGACAGTACAGGTTGAGACCAAATATGAAATTTATAGTTTTTTAAAATCCGAAGAATAGTATGAAATTGACTGGCATACTGGAGAAATGTTCATTTGCCTAAAAAAAGTAGTTCACATTTCTTGTAACAACTGTCATTTAATAAGCAGTTATTAAGTACTTCCTGTGCACTGAGTATTAGCGGGTGCTTGGATCAGGCCTTGAATCCTCTTCATTGGTGGTTTCTTAGGATACACAAGTGAACAGAGTGAACAAAATGAGCTCCTCATAAGGAAGAGATGACCAGGAAGTTAATTATGTGGTGTGTTAGCAGGCGGTAAATGCTGCAGATAAAAAACCAAGAGCGGTAGTGGGATCAGCACAGACTTCAGGGATTATTGTGATTTTTAAATAGGGTGCTTCCGTGTGGTTTTTGTTCAGGCAATGACTTGTGAGTATACAGTTGGGGTTGGTAAGGAAAGGAGCCATAGTGTTCCTTTTATGCAGGGGATAGCATTCCAACAGGGCAACAGGTAATGCAGAGGCTCTGGGCATACCTGGCATGTGCAAGGGCTGGTAAAAATGCCACTGGGGACCAAGTAGAGTGGGCAGAATTTTGTAAGAGGTGGAGCTGGGGAAATAGAGGGAAACCAGATGAAGGTGTCAGGGTTTTGTAAGATCTTCGGCTTTTGTGCGTGGGGTGCTGTCGTAGGGTTTTGAGCAGAAGAATTTGTATGTTAAAATTTTTTTGTCTAATGCATTGGTCTGAATGATGAAAGAGAGCAGGTATATGAGGCTAGTTGTAGTAATCCAGGAGAAAGATGGTGTCTAGGCCAGAGTGACAGGAGTAAAAGTTTGTGAGAAGTTAAAGCACTATTTGGTTTGTTCTTCTGTCTTTTGGTTAATGAAATGCAAATGTAATACAGGATTGATTTGGAAAACTAAGTGCTGTCTGGATATAAAGTGTTTTTAGACAGCATGTTTAAGAAAATCCTTAGAATATCGAGAATTACAAATTTTAATGTCTTCAGCTCTGTGCTAGAATCTGATAAAAGAAGAATAGTGTAGAGGTGTAGTAAACTCATCTACTGGTAGAGGAGGGTCCTCTCTTCTTGAAAGAGATGGCTTATATTTAAACTACTGCCTTGGGGCTGGGGATTTAGCTCAGCGACATAAGCACCTGCCTTGCAAGCGCGCAGTTGTGAGTTCCATCCCTGGTACCGATAAAAAATAAAATAAATTATTGCCTGAAGGACGAGAGGAAGGCAGACTATTCCAAACAGTGAGAGGAGGAGAGGCGGACAGGAGTGTAAGCGGGATATGACTATGTGGTCATGCAGGAGAGCGCGCTGTCCGTGGCAGGCAAGATGGGGGTGGAGTGTTGTGAGTGGGGCTCCTGAGGTGGGGTTGGAAATGAGGGGAAGGACTTAACGGTAGAAAAATGAAAAGGACAAGACAGGTGATGGAGGGCTCCCTGTGCCTTCCTGATCACTGCCTGGGCTTTTCTTTCATTTATTTATCTTTCTTCCATTTGACAAAGGGAAAGCAACTCGTTCTGCACCTTGCGGTGTGGAGTGGCACACGTGTAGGGCCCAGAGTGCAGCCTTGTAGGGCAGTTCCTCATGGCGTGATGCTGACTGATGGAGGCCAGAGCATGCAGCTGGTCAGGAGGCTCGGGCCTTCGCATCAAGTCACATGAAGCAGGATCCAGTCCAGTGTCAATGCAGGGATTAGCAAAACTAAGTTTTGATAGATCTCTGTGATTTTTGCCATGTAACTTGGAAGAAATTCAAATAATTGGGTGACCTTGCTGAGTAAGAATACCTTCTATTTATATGAACAAGTTTTTCAGTGTTGATATTTACTGAAATGAATAGGAATTACACTCATTCTGGCATTGAAATATTTAGTCACAGATATGAACAAATTGATACATGTGCTGCCAAAGCAAGCACAATATGAACAAATTGGGAAAACAGCCTTGCTATGTTGGCCTCAAGATGCACAAAATTTTATCTTGTGTTTCATGATTTAAATTTGTTTTTCTTTTCAACTGTATAATTTTAATGTTACAATGATTTTCATTCTTTTTTTTTTTTTTTTTTGGCTTTTTTTCGTTTTTATCGGCACCAAGGATCGAACTCACGACTGCCTGCTTTCAAGGCAGGTGCTTATGCTCCTGAGCTAAATCCCCAGCCCCTATGATTTTCAATCTTAAAGACAATTTTAAATATAGTCTCATGGTCATTTGAAATTCTTAAAACTTTATCTTTTAATATATAAACATTTGTGTCATAGAACGTAGTGTGATTTGTAAAATCACATATATTTATATGTTGTAAAATCAACATATACATTTATTAGAAAAATATATGGAGGGGGCTGGGGATTTAGCTCAATGGTATAAGTGCCTGCCTGGCAAGCGCAAGGTCATGAGTTCAATTCCTGGCCCCCCTCCCAAAATATGTATATATAGGGAAATGAAGTTGAAATACAGAAATATTTGGTGGAATTGCAGTATGTTAATTTAACCATTTTACTTCAAAATCTGATAGGCTAGAAATAATACCTAAAATTAATCTTATGGGGAAAATCTGATACGTTCACTAAAATGTGATAAAATGAGGGGGTTTTGTTCACATATTTCCTAAAATAAATTTTGAAAGTTTGAGCACTGGTGTTCTCAGTACCGTGTGGATAAAGAGAAGAGAAGAGACCATACAGTAGAACCTTAAAAACCAGGCATAACGGAGGTCAAAAGACAAGGCTGCAGAGTAAGCAGACAGCTGTGGGGGTGGTGGGCAGGGCGTGTGCCAGGGATGGATAAGCAGGTGTCTTCTCGGAACAGAGGGGCAGCAGCACAGCACAGAGCGCTTCTGAGACTTCAGAACTGAATAAAGAGCTGAAGCATGTCCATCTGGTCTCACGATGAGGAAATTTCAGTCCTCCCTCAATGGGTGAGGAAAGGAGCAGAGGCTAAACCTTTAGAAATCCAGTCTTAGCACTGAGGTGTTACAATGAGTGTTTTCTTTATAGTCTCTGCTTCATTGTCTGTTGGCCAAGTCAGATGATATCTATCTATATCAGTCAGTCAGTCAGTCAGTCAGTCAATAAAACTGTGAGCTTCCCACTCCTGGGAAAGAGACATTTTTACTTACCCACGTCATACTATGTTACTGTTACCTGGCCTATGAATTATACAGTGGAGGAAAGGATGGATGTGCATTTAGGGAAATGCAAATACCACGAGGAATCACGTTTATTGGAAGTAAGTAGGGCTGTCAGATTTGGAGACAAGACCAATTCTCAAAACATTCTAGATGTGTCAGTTCCCAGGACCGTATATCATAACAGATCTTGTATTTTATGATATAAAATGACAGACCATGCTTACCAGAGGGAGTTTAAACGATAGAATACTGAAAAAATTTGGCATGTACTCTGAATGTTTAATACTCTGTATTTCTTTATTTTCAATATGAAAATTCTCCTTAGTAATACTGAGATTTGTACATGCAGCTGCAACATCAATGGAAGGATCTCTCTAGCATTAACTCTCTTCCTTTGTTTTATTGTGAAAGACCACAAATAACGTGACCCACTTATCTTCAGTCCTATTGATGAGAGTTTCAAGTGTAAGCTGGAGTAAATCCAGGGAACTGAGAAACAGTAAAGGATTGGGGGGCGTGTTGAGATATATATGTAGGCAATCACTGAATCAATAGGTGACGTCTGTTTTGTACCTACAGGCTGTTATCTGCTGTTCTGAGAGTTTCAGAAGTTGAATCTCGAGCAATAAGAGCAGATCTTACTCATCTACTAAGCCCTCAAATGGGCAAAGATATTGTTTGGTTTCTAAAACGCTGGGCCAAGACTTACCTCCTTGTGGATGAAAAACTGTATGATCAGGTCAGAATGTAGAAATGTTAAACTTTCTTTGAATTTATGTTGTTGGCAGTTATAGAAGTGAGAGCATTTTTCCTATTGAGATGTTTCTTCAAAATGGGACTGTTATATCTACACTAAAGAAAACCAGACTGAAATGTTATTTTATAATTTTTTGTAGTACATTGTTAGATTTTATTTTTATTTTAACCATTATTAAGATACAAATTGCTATTGGTAATAGATTAATTTTGGTTTAAATATCATGTTAGTGTGGTAACAACATGAGGATGAAGTTGACAGCAAAGTCAGGTCAGAAAGCATGAGTGCATTTATAATGTTTTGAATGTACAGAAAATGAATCATTTGTACAAGTAAGAACTACTTCAGAGTTAGATGCCAGATGATTTTTCTGTTTACTATTTGCTCAGCTGATTTTTCTTTGAACCTTACAAAATTTGTTTTCACTCTTAAGATAAGCCTGCCATTCAGTACAGCATTTGGACCAGACACAGAGGGTTCTCAGTGGATTATTGGCTACCTCTTACAAAAAGTCATTAGTAACCTCTCAGTCTGGAGTAGTGAGCAGGACCTTGCAAACGATACTGTGCAACTCCTTGTCACTTTGGTGGAAAGAAGAGAAAGGTAAGTCCATTGCAGGAAGGGAGGAGAGGGAGAGAGAGAGGAAATTGTTTGCTTTTTAACATAATCTTTTCACCTGCTAAATGATCATACAATTTAAGATTAGGCTTACTCTACATTTTTGAAATAGTATATTATTAAAACTATCGTTTTGAAATAGTTTTAAGATTGTTACAAATGCAAATGGGAGGTTCCATTTTACAATTGCGGATTACATTGATAATTCAAGGATTTAACATTAACAAATTTTATGAGTAATACATAAATCTTATTTAATAAACTATGTTATAAAAATATTCATGTAGAATATTTATTTTTTATTTTTTTAGTTATCCTGTTAGCCTTATCCCCATCTTAAAGATGAGAACAACTGATAGTTAATTTGCAAAGGGGGCTGGAGATTTAGCACAGTGGCATAAAGCAGCTGCCTGGCAAGTACGAGGTCATGAGTTCAATTCCCAGCACCACCAAAAGAAAAAAGAAAAAAAAATCATTGCAAAGTAAAATGTTTAATGCTTTCCACAGCAGATTGTAGAACTGTTTTCATTTTTCTTGCTCTATAGGAATATATCATTGCTATTGTTAATTACTATTACCTTTATTTGTTGAATTATGGTTTATTGAGCATTTACTAAGCATTTCACAAATAGCATCTCATTTCATCATTATATCTGTGTCAAGCGTGATATTTAGGCCTATTATAACTACTTTATCCCCTTTTTGCAGATTGAAAAACTGATAGTTAAGAGAGATTAAATAACAGCATTCATTTTATGTTGTCCAATGACTAATGACGTCTGAAAGTAACCTTGTGTGACTCTAGACTGTACACTGTGTTACTGTACTATGTTATAAAAGCTGACTAAATCCAGTCAGGTTTGGGCAGGTGTCCACAGTCACAGCTGTCCGAGGGTCGAGATGGAAGGGTCACTTGAACTCACGAGTTTGAGACCCTCCTGGGTAACATAGCAAGACCTTGCCTCAGTAAAGAAACAAATAAATATAGTTTATCTTCAGTTTTTGTTTTCTAAGTTTATTTACATACAGTGAAAGCAATACAACTTTTGTTTTGTTATTTCTCCCTTTAGGGCAAACTTAGTAATTCAGTGTGAAAATTGGTGGAACCTAGCTAAACAGTTTGCAAGCCGAAGCCCACCTCTTAATTTCCTGTCTAGTCCTGTGCAGAGGACGTTGATGAAGGCTCTAGTCTTAGGAGGCTTTGCACATATGGACACAGAAACCAAACAACAGTATTGGACAGAGGTAATGGTGCCCTCCTCTGCACTCCTGTAGGTTTTTGTGTGTTCATACAATTTCATTCATAGTTTTTCTAACATAATTTTCACCCAATCAATAGGTGAAGGTTGTTGCTTTACAAGTATGTTCTGTTTCATGGTTTGTCTGAACTTGGTTATGTGACAATATTCACTATTATCAGATGTGCTATATTTTAGGTGTATTTTCTCTACTCAGGTAAGAGCCTATAACTAGTGTATTAATTATTATTAAAAGTTGGCTGGCCTAAAAATGGCCATCTGAGATGAATATACACTTCTTGGAGGAAAAAATACAAACAGCAAATAAATATATGAAAAAATGTTCAGCATCACTGGTAGTTTGAGAGATGCAAATTAAAACAACAGTGAGATTCCACCTCACCCTGGAAAGGATGGCTATCAAGAAATCAACCAATAACAAATGCTGAACGTCTGTAGGGAAAAAAGAACCCTTTTCTACTGTTGGGAGTGTAGACTAGTGCAACCACTATGGAAATCAGTGTGGAGATTACTCCAAAAACTAGGATTGGAGGTCAACCCAGGTATTTCCCTGCTAGGTGTCTTCCCAGAAAAATTAAAAGCATCATACCACAACAATATATATGCATCCATGTTTGTAGAAGCAGTTTGTAATAACTACTGCAAACAACCCAAATGCTCATTAACCAAAGAATTAACAAAAAAAGATGCGATGTTTTTCTATAATAGAGTACTACATAGCCATAAAAAGGATAAACTTGAGACTCTTAGGTAAATGGATGCAACTCAAGACCATACTCATAAGTAAAATAAATCAAACTTGCATGTGTAAACATCTCCCTAATGTAAGATGCTAAAAGAATAAATAAGATCTAAATGTACAATAGATATTGTGAAATGGGAAGAAATTGTCCAAAAGGAAAGAAACTGGGATGGGGGAAAGGAGAAAAGAAGGAAGGACAAAGCAATAGTTAAGATAGTCATACTACTAATTTCTCTTATTTCATTGAAAAGAAAGGTTTGTGTTAATATTGTTTGGACAATTAAATGTCTATGTCTTGCAATCTTGAGTAACTAAAGATAACGATATACAATGTACTAATCATTGTTACTCTTCTATTATCTCCTTTTGATTTTTTTTCCCTTTGAAATAGAACTAAAAAGAAAAAAAAAAGGCTGGCCAAAGAAGCAGTCAGATGGTGTAGCACTGACCATGCATGAGGCCCTCGGTCCGACCTTCAAAACAGCAGTGACCAAGGGAATCGTGACATTAAGAATCAGTGATACGTTCTTATTTTGAGCAAGTAGATGCAAGTTAGTGCTATAATTATTTGTGGGGCTGCGGTAAAAACTTGGTGACTTAAGCAGTTGACATTTACTGTCTCATGGTTCTGGAGGCAAGAAATACAAGAGGAGGTGGGGCAGGCCTGTTTCTTTCTGAGGAGGAATCTGTAGCTTCTTGTGGTTTGCTGGTGACTTAGGTGTTGTTGATGTGTGTGTGCATCTCCCTGGTCTCTGCCTTCACGTTCATATGAGATTCTCTTTGTACGTCTGTTTGCTTCCACATTTCCTTCTTTTTATAGAAGCCCACCGCACTCCAGATAACCTAATTTTAACTGATTCCATCTACAGTGGCTGTTCAGTTAGGGTCACAGTCTGAGGATTTCCACAGATGAATTTTAGAGGAGACATAATTTAGCCCTTAACAGCCATCATGGACATATCACATAAGAAGCTTTCAATCAGGGATCAAGTGTGTATGCAGGCTGCCCTCCTGTTATACTTGTCTCTAGAGTGTTTTGAATGTCTGAGAAGCAGCACAATGATAGAATCAGGTAGTTTCTGTGATTTCATAACTAGTGGAAGTCAGGCTATGAGTTTCTAGTTTAAATAACTTTTTTATTTTATGAACAACTTTAGATAAAATTAAGATACTATGCTCATGAGTACTCGTGTGTGTGTGTGTGTGTGTGTGTGTGTGTGTGTGTGTGTGTGTGTGTGTGTTGCTGAGGAGGTGCTACACCACCTGACTGCATCTTTGGCCAGCCTTTTTTTTTCTTTTTAGTTCTATTTCAAAGAGAAAAAAAAAAAATCAAAAGGAGATAATAGAAGAGTATCAAAACCAAGGCTTCATCCATTAGGCAAATGTTCTATCTCTGGACCACACTTTTGGCCTGACTGCCTTACACACAGGATGGAACTGGTTATCTACTGTTCAATGCCAGGAGGATGAAGCAAGTTAGAAACAGCCAACAGCTTTGTGCTGAGCTTGATGCTGCAGAGTAAAACATGCAAACTATAGGTCACGGATCAATTATAATCTCTGTTTCTGTACATTGTTTTATTGAGAAATGATTGTGTTCAACTTATTTATAGTTCTTACTACTCGACCTTTTGTTATTTTTTATTTTATTTTAAAGAGGATAAAACAATAAAACGAATCAAAACACACCAGTGTAAGTATACAGGACTTCAAAACATTACAAAATCAACAATAGCTACCATAATGCCTTTTGATGTCTACAAAATAGCTGCAGATATCTTCAGATGTAGTAAAAATCAAACAATAGAATAGAAACAATAAAAATAAAACAATGAATGCAATAAAGGAATTCAAAACAAGCCAATAGCAAATCCAGAATTGCTACCATAATGTATCTTGCTATCTTTAAAATAGCTACCCCAGCCATTGAATCCAACGTAATCAGATAAAACCCAACCCAACAAAACAGTGGAAACCATATAGGACTTCAAAACAAGACAGTAGGGAATCAGCAATGGCTGCAGTGCTCAGAAGGAAACCGCCCCCCACACTATACAGCTATCCTCTGAACCTGTGATCAGACCACTGGCCCTAGATCTGCAGTGTCAGTGAAACACCAAAGCACCACAGGCATCCAATTGCATTTCAGTTTGATAGCTGTCATCACAGCCTGTGTTTCTGTGGATAAGCTGGTCGCTGGGAAGGTAATTTGTTCTTCTTGTTTGCCGGCCTGTATACTGGAAGGCCCTGGGGTCTGGCTATTCCCAGTTCAGTGTTGTGACCTTTTTTTTTTTTTTTTTTTTTTTTTTAAAGAAAAAAATACTTCGCTGAGCCCTCTTTTGGGTCTTACCCTTTTTTTGGTCTTTTAAACATATTTTTGTTAATCACTTCAAAAGAAGTAACAGAATTCTGGGCTAGAGATTTAGCTCAGCAGCATAAGAGCCTGCCTTGCAAGCAGGCAGTCCTGAGTTTGATCTCTGGTGCCGGTAAAAAGGTAAAAAAAAAAAAAAAAAAAAAAAGAAAGAAAGAAAGAAGTAACAGAATTCTGTGAGTGGGATTGAAAAAGTCATGTTCCATGACTTTGGTATCATTTCTGTAAGTTAGGATAACCTTCAAAATGGGAAATATAGAGTATGGTGTGGATACTCTTTGTCTCACTTCCAGCAATTAGAAATGTTTTAAAAAGTGAATATTCATTTAAGTCGAAGAAATCATATTTAGAAAGTTTATGTTGTATCATTATAGGTTCTACAGCCACTTCAGCAACGATTCTTAAGAGTGATAAACCAAGAAAACTTTCAGCAAATGTGCCAGCAGGAGGAGGTCAAGCAGGAGATCACTGCCACACTGGAGGCCCTGTGTGGCATTGCTGAAGCTACCCAGATTGACAATGTGGCCATTCTTTTTAATTTTTTAATGGACTTCCTTACCAATTGCATTGGGTTGATGGAAGTTTACAAAAATACTCCAGAGACTGTCAATCTCATTATAGAAGTTTTTGTTGAAGTTGCACATAAACAGATATGCTATCTTGGAGAGGTAAGCACTTTGTAGTTTCATCCCTTGAGAAGGAAACCTATTCAAAGATACAATGAAGCCATAGATACTTACTGCAGATTTGTGTTATTTATTTTTATTCTTCCAAAAGATCTTCCAACAAAACTTGGTTAAAAAGCTCATGATTTAAAGGAAGTCATGCTGAATGAGTACAAATTTGTGTCCTAAAGTTTTGTTAGAAAATGACTGATACTTTAAATGTCACTATCTTAATAGTAACTCTTAATATCAACAAGCATTATAGCTGCTGTTAGAATTCAGAGTAATTTAAACTTCTTTAGTATTTGTTTCTACAATAGATTCTATCAAGTGGCATAACATGCACATTTTCTTACAGTCCAAAGCTATGAACTTATATGAAGCCTGCCTTACTTTGTTACAAGTATATTCTAAGAATAACTTAGGACGGCAAAGAATAGATGTTACAGCTGAAGAAGAACAATATCAAGACCTGCTTCTCATTATGGAACTTCTTACTAACCTTCTGTCAAAAGAATTCATAGATTTCAGTGATACAGGTAATATGTATTGTGGTGGCTTTTAAATTTTGTTGATGTTGGTTTTGTGTATGCTGTTTGGTCAGTGGTACTGGGAATTGAACCTAAGGACTCTGTACTGAGTTTGATTTTATTTTGAGATAAGGTCTCCGGAAGTTTCCCAGGCTGGACTGAAACTTGTAATCCTCTTTGCTCAGCTTCTTAAGGGATGTTGTTTGTTAAAGCAAACTGGTACAGTTTGGTTTGGTTTTTAAGAGAAATCTCATGAGGAAGTTCAGTGTACCAAACAAATGAAAGATCTCTTTGGTTGAAATAGATACCAAGAGCTCTCCCTACTTAACTTTATTCTTACTAGAATAATGTCTTCCGTTTACTGAGATTTTCTCTAAATGGAATGCAAAGTAACTACCATTATTATTCTCACCAGATTGATAAAGAAGCGGAAGCACAGAGTATTTTAAGTCACTTATCCAGAGGCATTTAGCCAGTAAGTCAGTATTAAAACCCAAACCCTAGGCTGGGTGTGGAGCGCATGTTTGTAATAGCGCTCGGGAGGCTGAGGCAAGAGGATCACTGGGAATTAAAGGCTAGTCTGGACTTCATGGTGAATTTAGCAAGACCTGTCTCAAAAAACAAACAAATAAGTCCAAACCCTAGTATGAGACTCTAGACTCCAGGCTTCTCAGAGTTATGCTGGATCAAGTCCTCCACAGCTTTGGAGACAGCCACCCCTTCAGGCCTTGCACACTGCTGAGTACAGTTTGGGACACCCTGTTGGATTGGAAGCCCTAGTGCAGAGTGGACAGGTCACCAGTGTAGTGACACTCAGCAGTCTGGCTTGGGGAAAGCAGCAAGTGCAAGCTGATTGGGACATGTGCTGCCCCTGCTTCGGAAAATGGGGCTCTTCTAACCCCGTTCTAACCCCAAGAACAGAGACTTGAGGGAAAATTCAGAATGAGTCTGAAGTTTTTAAGTAGAAATATTACAACAGGTTATCCTTAAAAGCCAAAAATAAAAAAATTTCATTAATTTTGGCACCATTTAGAGTCAACTGTGCATTGCATTTTGGTAATTTTTTTATATTAGAGTTATGTAGAGTTTCCTTTTTAGTCATATTTTAAATACAATTTTATTTTCTGCCTTTAAAAAAATGTAATGTTAACCGTTTCCATGTCATTACAATTTATCATGACATTTTTAATGTCTGTGTGGTATTCAGCATTTGGGAATCTAATCTCTTACCTTAATTTTAGACATCTGTAATATTTACATTTTTGTTCTTTGTTTGCTTTTTTTTTTTTTTAACTTTTTATCGGTACCAGGGATCGAACTCACAATTCCCTGCTTGCAAGGCAGGTACTTATGCCGCTAAGCTAAATCCCCAGCCTACATTTTTGTTCTTTTAAAGAGATACATTGAAGATTGCTTAGCATGGTGTCACATGCCTATAATCCTAGCATTTGGGATGCTATGTGGGACCCTATCTCAAAAAAAAAAAAATTATTGAAGACTGAGGCAGAAGAATTGTAGGTTCAGGTCTACCCAGGGCAATTTAGGGTCTCAGCAAGAACTGTCTCAAGATTTCCAATTTAAAGATAAGAAAAAGGCTCGAAGATGCTGCTTAGCAGCCTGGTGTGGTGTGCATGCCAGTAATCCTAATACTCAGGAAGTTGAGGTAGGAGGATCCCAAAGAGTTTGAGGCCAGTCTAGACTACATAGAGAGATGCTATCTCAAAAACAAGAGACAGGCAGGCAGGCAGGCATAGCTCAAGAAGCCCTCGGTTCAATCCCCAGTACTCCCACAAAAAAAGTTTTTAAAAATGCATTGCGCTATAGACAAGTCTGTCTGAATTTCTGACTGTGCTCAGTGATGTAAAGGAATGAAATTCCCGACCTACTATATGTCCAGTACAAGTTCATGTTCTCTAAAATCGAAGAATTAATTTTAGAAACATGGAGGTTAAGAATAGGAATATTTATAGAGAGAAAGAAAGCTTCTATCTGAGAGACAGAAGGGTCCCGAGGGGGTTGCCAAATATTCTGTATTTTCTCAGGATTTTTATAGAGTAAAACCATGAGATAAGGCAGGTCTAAATTTGGGGGGAAACTGGGAACTCAAAAGGCAGATGGGCATGAGGTGGGACAGAGCTAAGGTCAACCAATAAGATAAATAGCTCAGGTAAAAATTGATTAAATTGGGAACTAATGGGGAAGTGAGTCACGTGGAAGGCGTGCATTCTTTTTGGATCAGTGACTCTTCCTATAGGGTAATGGGATGGTGACTCTTGGCTTCTCAAAATGATCCAGTCTTAATCCCTAAGGATTATACTTAAGGGTGTGGTTGCATTTGTTTTGCCTTCTGTCCTGAAATCTGGCTCACAGCAAGATGTGTGTCTCCTCCAAGGGCATCAGACATCTGGTCCTCTGTGCCGGCTTCTTTGAGGACCTAGCCCTGTCTGACTGTCTATAATATTTCTACTTAACTCAGCTGCCTGTAACAAAAAGGTCTAATGTACTGCTGTTGAAGATAACTGTCACATTATATCCTTCTTAGTTTAGTGAATTGGAAGTCATAACCTTTCAAAGTTTTGCACTACTTGATAAATAGTTGGGGCAAACTGTTTTTCAGTCAGTGTTTACTTCTGGATACTACTGACTTAGCTATTTAAGTTTTAACATTCTCATTAATTTGTATGTAGATACAATTTGTATGTATTACAGATAACAACCCTTTGTCCTATTGACTGCTTTTGATTTAAACCACTTTCTGTTTTTAACATTTTCATTTGTGTATTTTCTTCTATTTTATTTAAGCATAGAAAGATTCCATACACCTAAGACATCAAAAAGATACTACTGTGGAAATAACTCATAGAATGGCTATCATGTCACATTTTATGTTATATTAAATTTTTTAGATATACTTCTGTTTCTAGAATGTCTCCTCCTCTTAACCTCCTTAATACTTCTGCATCAAGTACTGAGATCCTCTAACAAATAAAACACAAACGAGTGACACAAATCTAGACTTTCCACATTTCAATCTATTCGTATATTTATTGGGGCTTTAAGACTTGAATTATTTTCATTTGCATGAGGGTTGAATATGAACCTTGGAAATTTAGTGATATAACCGTAAGACTGTGTTATTCTGATTTTAATAGACGAAGTGTTCCGAGGACATGAGCCAGGTCAAGCAGCAAACAGATCTGTGTCTGCAGCTGATGTTGTTTTATATGGCGTGAATCTTATTCTGCCCTTGATGTCTCAAGATCTTTTGAAGGTAATTACAGACAGTGAATATGAACATTAAAACTATGTTGAAGTTCAAAGATACTGTACCTCTGAGTTAACTAAGGAGCATATGAAAATGAAGTTTTTCATTTCTGTTAGTTATTTGTGCTTGCTTCTGGATCCATTACCAACCATTTTGTTAGGGCGTGCTACAGAAAAAATTTGTTCCTGTAGGTATTGAATTTTGTTACCAGTTTTGCATTGCTTATCATGTGTCATTCATATTTTTGAATGTCATTCTCAGCATGAGGAATTGAGCAGAGGACACCATTTTCTAAGCCACTCCATGTAGATAGAAAAGGGATAGTAAGAAACCTAAACTAACTCAATTTAGAATGTTTGCCATTCTGACTAGACTATGCTTAGTTTCTCCATTTGGAATGAAGGGTTAGAGGCTGGTGAGGCTGCCTTTCCTTTCTGTAAGCACTGTAGCAGGTGGGTGGTCTCTTGTCATGATTGCCTTGGAGTGGTAACGGAGAGAAGGAAAACACATCCTGGGGAGGAAGGGAAGGAAGCAGTGAGGAAAAGGAGAGATGAGAGTTGCTTGGGAGGTGAGGCTCCCCATACACTTCCCTCCCTGAGAAATGCCTCTGTCGGAAATAATCCTGACACCCTGTGAGCCAGGTGCTATGCAGCAACCAGTGGGATGAAGATGTTCAGCCAGCTCTGTGTGTTGGTTTGCTTTTAGGATTGGTTTGTTTGATCAAATAACAATTAAATATTAAGATGTATATTTTTGCTAGTATAAGCTGCATTATCCTCAGTCCTCCAGGACTATCTAAATAGAAGATCGTTGTTGGAAGTGTAAGGACTGAAGACTGCTCAGTGCCTAACTTTAACAGTTGTATTACTTCCACTTTTCCAAATGCTTGATAGAAATAAACATATTTATAGAAGGGTTTTATTCCCAGATCATTTTCCAAATGCTTGATAGAAATAAACATATTTATAGAAGGGTTTTATTCCCAGATCATTTTCCAAATGCTTGATAGAAATAAACATATTTATAGAAGGGTTTTATTCCCAGATCACTTAATAATTTTGGATTTGCTTGTCTTATTTACTGTTCAATGTAAAGCAGAGTATATGGAACTGACTGTAGCTTTTATTAATGCTCCAAAACCAATTATTTCTACTGTATATTACTTTTTTATAGTAGTGACTTAAAGTATTCCTTTTTATTATAATTTATTTTACATTTAGGTCTGCATGTTTTTAAAACATTGTTGAAAGAAATTGTTATATTAGAAACTTGTTGGTTACATTATAACATTAATGAAAATAAAAATTAGGTACTATTGAGCATATAAATATTTAAAACTTCTTTTTTCAGTTTCCAACCCTTTGTAACCAGTACTACAAATTAATCACATTTATCTGTGAGATTTTTCCTGAAAAAATACCACAGCTTCCTGAGGATCTGTTTAAAAGTCTGATGTACTCCCTGGAACTGGGAATGACATCATATCCTTTAAATGAATATTGTGTCCCTCTGGGGGGATGGTATTACTTGAGGATCTTTTGAATTTGTATTTTTTTGTTAATTTGCCTCATCCTGTCCTCTTTTCCTAGATGCCTAAGGTATTTGATTCCTGCCCCAAAGCCACTCCTTTGTTATCTATTTTTAGGTCTCTGGTCTTAACTTGCTGTTTAATATGGTCACTTTTTTATCTGCATGCATCCGTGAAAATGACTGTGTCATATATTAATTTTTGCTCCAAAATAGGTAATAGGCTTATTTACAGAAGATGTCTTATTTTTTAGTGTACAACAGTCTACATTTATTCCTGTATAAAACTACATGTATTCAGAAATAGTCTTATCATCTTCTGGAACATCATTGTAACTGTAAACCCCGAATTCTGGCCTGAATGTCTTACGACGACTTTTCCTGTAGAACCATGGGGCCTGCTCAAGTGCATTGGCAGCACAGAGGCAGTGATTTCAGCCCATGAATTTTTCACCCATCACTACCTCTTGCAGGCTGCTTCATAGTTTACATTAAATCAGATATTCATTGACGACTTAAGAGGTGGGAGTGGCAACAAAATTGATGACACTTAAGAATGATGATCCAGGGGCTGGGGATTTAGCTCAGTGGCATAAGCATCTGCCTTGTAAGCAGTCAGTCATGAGTTCGATCCCTGGTACCAGTAAAAAGGAAAAAGACAAAAAAAAAAAAAAAAAAAAAGAATGATGATCCGTACAAAAATGATGAAAAATTGCAGGCACCAAAATTCAGAAAATGTTTTTATATTTTTCACAAGTGCATTAAGTATTCTGTTACAACACACAACTTATTGAATTACGAAGATTCATATTAAACACAGTCATGTCTGTTCATTATCTAGTGAGCACATTATTTGTACATTGTCTGTATTCCGATTGGTCATTCAGTGATAAGTCTTGAGTTCATCTATTTACATAGGCATTTACCTTTCATTCAAAGGCACCTGCTTGAGTATTTAAAAAACTTAATTATAATTTACATCATCATCTGTTTGAAGTATTAATATCAATAATACTGTTTAATTATATATTGATATTCATTACTTCTGTCATGTTACAATAAATGTACTAAATATACCATCTGATTGACAGCATTAATTGGGCTTATTTTGGGGGAAGGTGTTGTATACAAGATTTCTTTAAAAAGATCAGGGCTAGGGATATAGCTCAGCCGCACAGTGCCTGCCTGGCTAGTGCTGGGTCCTTGAATTTGATTCCTGGTCGTCCCCCATCCCAAAAAAAATTTGGACTAAAGAAAAACATGTTATGGCTTATTTTCTGGGTCAGTGTAATTTTTGGGAAAATGCAGTAGGCAGAAACAAACTAGATATGACCAATCCCAAATTCCTTTTAAGTCTTACAGATTATCTGAAAAACACTGGAAATCTTCACAGCTTAGTTATAATATATTACTATTAGGAATAGTCATTCAATATTATGATTTTTTGATCTTTTGTAAGTCCAATATACAGTATGTCCAATATAGTTTGTTCTTTGACCTTGGTGATCAGAATGAGCTCAGAGGTTTGCCAGCTCTGCCTGGAGGCGTTGACACCTTTAGCAGAACAGTGTGCAAAAGCACAAGAAACAGACTCACCACTTTTTCTAGCAACTCGGCACTTTCTTAAGGTAAGATGTATTGGGTTGGTAGGTCAGAAAATCATCTGCTTTGGTGAGTTCAGTCACTGCATTTAATTCTTGATTCAAATGAGGAAATGCTAAAGTTCTTATTGTTTAATTTCAGCTGGTTTTTGATATGCTGGTTTTGCAAAAGCACAACACAGAGATGACCACTGCAGCTGGCGAAGCTTTCTACACGTTGGTGTGTTTGCACCAGGTATTGGATACCTTCTTTACAGCCTTCTGTCCTGTTCAGTGATGACAGGTTATCCCCACCCCTGTTCTTTTTTTTTTTTTTTGTATCCATTACCAGGGATCGAACTCAGGACTGTGGGCTTACAAGGCAGACATTTGTGCCGCTGAGCTAAATCCCCAGCCTCGGCCCCACTCCTGTTCTTAATTGATCTCTGACTCAGTAAAGCAGTAGTTTGTAGCTTCCTTATTAGCTCTTAGCTCTTATTCCATGTTTATCTTCTCAAAATCATTCATTTTCCCTTCTGCTCTGTTATCAACCATCCTTTGCAGTGGTCACCACCCCAAAGTGTGTCCTTAGAGAGAACTGTGCTGAGATCTAGGAGCGCAACATCAGGGAGTAATGAATTTGTAGTTCCTGTCTTTGAGGAACCTCAGACTTTATGAAGGAGACAAAGTAAACAAGATTAGGGACCAGGAGTTTGCTTTCAGAAGGCATAAGGGACGGCACATTATTTTGTGTAATACTATAGAAAACAGCCTTTTATTTTCACTGCACTTTATAATTCTGAAATTTCCCTGATGCAGGGTTCATGTGATCAAAGCAAAGTTATGCTAGCGTGTCTTCATTATTCTGCCCATCCAGTGTACACAGAGACCCGTATTGGGTCATGTGTTGCCTCAGTTTCCTGTCTTCCCCTCGCATGCTTATATATGCTTCTTTACATGGCCAAATGGTTAGTTAGAGAAGTTTTGTGTTTTATTTCCCTTTCAAAACATGGAAGGAGTTGAGGAGGTCCATATATTTAAAGCCCTGTTTCCTCTAGACTTTTGTGACCTCTGTACTCTGAGATTTCATTCTTGAACTCTGCGCTGGCATCTACTTTCTGCAGGTTCTCTCCAGTCAGATCAATGGCCTTTCTCTGTCATTTGGTCCCCTGTTGCTTCTTAGGAAGATAGTGTATCTTGTCCCTGTATGTATCACTGCCATTACATCTACAGGTCCTTTTCTCACTCTTCCTCCAAGAGCCACTGGACAGTGCTGGCATGGAACTCTCAAAGTACTCTGCCTCTACTTTTTGGAAGCATAAGGGGCTGGGGATTTAGCTCAGTGGCATAAGCGCCTGCCTTGCAAGCAGGCAGTCATGAGTTCAATCCCCGGTACCGATTAAAAAAAAGGAAGCATAAAACACCTTTTCTCTGTTCCCCTTCTCCCAGATACTGCTGTCCTCAGGACTGGATAAAGAACTGTCTCTCAGACCTCTGGAGGAATACTAAAAATCATGTTATCAATTTAAGTTATATATAAAATGCAAAATAAATATGTATAATGTAACTGAATATGGTGGCACAGGTTTGTAGTCTCAGCACTCAGGAGGCTGAAGCAGGAGAATTAAACTGAGGTCGGCCTGGGCTATTTATCGTGTTCAAGGCCTACCAAAGTTACATAGCAAGATTGTCTCAAAAAAGAGGAAGACATTGTGGGATATTTTTTTTAGTATATGTTTATATTATGTAATGTTTACATTCCTTCTCTGGCATTTAAATAGTATCTAGGGCCAGGGATTTAGCTCAGTGGCATAAGCGCCTGTCTGGCAAGTACAAGGTCATGAGTTTGATCCATGGTACCAAAAAAAAAATATCCTTCTCCTTAAATAGTATATATTTCCTAACAGTGTGAATTAGTCCACAGAAAAGATGAGATTACCTGGAGTAGATAGTAAATATAAAAAGGATTGTCAGCCTCTGCCTCTTGGAGCTCTACAGAAATACCTGTGAGATGCGGTCTTATAGGTTCTTTTCTCTTCACAGGCTGAATATTCTGAACTGGTGGAGACATTGCTGTCAAGTCAGCAAGACCCCGTAATTTACCAGAGGTTAGCAGATGCCTTCAATAAACTCACTGCAAGCAGCACTCCTCCTACGCTGGATCGGAAGCAGAAGATGGCCTTCCTAAAAAGTTTAGAAGAATTTATGGCTAATGTTGGTGGTCTCCTTTGTGTAAAATAAACAACCAAACTGTATGCTTAATTTAGATCCTTTCCGCAGAGTGCACTGAATTGCTGAAAGTTGACTTGAGTCTTGTCCTGTTCCTCAGTTCATTTGGACATTATGGATTTTGGAGAGCCTCAAACTTTGACACACAATGCAATGAAACAGGAGAGGTCAACTTTGAATCAGCTTCTGCTGTTAGGTGTTAGCCACGGTCTGCCATATACATTGTCTTCTAGATTTTGAATGGATTTGAAAATTTGAAGATGCAATTTCATGTATGTGCAAATAGATATGAGCACATATTCAATGCCTTTTCCCCTTTGATCAAAACTTAGATGGCTAGCCAAAGTTTAGAACTTGTGCTGTTAAATATTAGATGGTCATGTACTAGGCAATGTTTCTCAAAATGTTGCCCATAGACCACCTTTGTCCCTTGAGGAGCTAATTTTAAAAGTTGATTCTTGGGCGCCATCATAGACCTTCAGTCAGAACCTCTGGTTATTGGACCCTGGAGTCTATTTTAGTCCCTCCCCTCCATCACCCTGTAAGTTCTGAATCAATGCAAGAGACATTGGGAAACCTTAAGAGGTTTTGTGCTTTGTAGTTTTTCCTCCCTAATAATTAAGTTTGTCATTTAGCAGAAAGAAAAGCCGTCACCAAGTATTTGTTAGCTTCTTTTCAGTTTATACCCTTCCTTCCACCCTCTCTCCCCTCTCTGTCTCTCCTCCTCTACCCCTTTCTCTTTCCATCCTGGTGTTGCAGGTTTTGTGTAATTAATACACATCTCTAATCGTACTCTGATGCCTAAACTTGAGGAAAACACGTGTATATTTTTGTTCCATAAACAGAACTTTAGGAACTGTAGCCATTTCATTGCCTTAATTTTAAGAGGGAAATTCAAAAAAAATGACAGATTTGTTTTAGTAAGAAATCTATCAAGTCTTGATGCTTCAGAGTTGGCTTAGGGTGTTAGCTGCTATGAACCTGTTGCCCCTTTTGATCATGTATTTATGTGAGTTTACAAGTGAGATGAAAAGCGCATTCCTGTGTAGTTAACTGTCTGAGCGCATTTCAATCGAGCTACACAGCCCATATCTACTCTGAATGGCTTGCTTAAGCAATAACTTTTTAAGGATGTGAATTCTGATTCACACAGACTATTGCACATTGGGGCATTAGGGGCAATAATTGTGTTAAAGTGGGAGTTATCCTCACGTCACGGGAGCCACACAAATTTAATTTTAGAAGTTAAACTTTTTATTTTAGATTCTCTAGCTCAGTCTTTCTAATCAGGATTTTTATACTGCTGCCAGATCCTCTTAATTCTTTGTGCCAGCTTAGATTATGGAATCAAAAGCTGACTTATAAGCTGCAGGCATAGAAAACTATCCAGTGCAATCCTGGAGTCCACAGCACAATGAGGTCGAGGACTCCAGCACAGGTGCATCTGATACTCTGCTGCAGAGCTCAGGCTTCCCCCTTCCACACGTGCTCGGCCCTGTCTGCTACACCAGCCTGTGAGCTGTTTTATATCTGGATTGCACACGGCATATGCATCTTCACATAGGGCACTCTGCAGAGCTTTGTCTAACTCTGTGCTGTAATAGTTACAGTTAACAAAGCTGGAGTGTCTGAATACATCCACCCTGTGTATGTGACGTTAGATAGCGAATGCCAGGCTATGGCAGTCACTTTTTGAGAATCATTTCTTTGAATTTTTGTCACCATTGAGTGACATTAAATGTGGATCCTGAGCTTCTTAAAGGACTTTGAAGAACACCAGGAATACGTATCTTTGTATTTTGAAAAGTACTTTGATCCATTTCTTTTTAGGCTTTTTCCTTAAAGAATTTGAAATGGTAGGCAGCAGTGATCACTTTTTGTTGTTCCTGATACTTTGTGCTTCAAGGCTCCCTCAAGCTTCCACAGCAATTGTGAGGTATATGTTTCTGTGTGCGTGTGATAAGTACAGTCCCTGAGACACACAACTTGAGTGGGTAGGTACCCTGGCCCAGGACACAGCTATAATTAGGTTATTATTACAAGTAACAACGAGTGGGGAAAGAATGCCTTGTTAGTAAGGAGGCTCCATATTCAACAATTCCTCTCCATGAAATATATTTGCTAAATCTGCCCAGATCCTATTATAGCACTGAAATTTTATTAGACCAGTTTTATTGAAGACAGTATTTACTTCAGATCGGACCAAATACTGCTGAAGAGATGACCGGAATGTCAGTTAGTGGCAAACCAAGGGGGAGAAGAGGAGAGCGCTCCATGTTGTAGGACATGGCGTGCCACTTAATTGTACCATTTAGATTCTTCAGGGTGTTTATGGTTTTGTTTGCCTGATTGGCCATTTGTTTGGGTCTTCTTTTACTTTATCCAGTTTTGTCTTTAGCTTTGTTTATTAGATCTTCAGGTTTTTTTATTTTCATTAACTTTGGTCCAGTGAATTTTGAGAACACTGGCTTGATTCTAATAAATTGGTTTTTCCAATTAAAACTGACTGTTAAGTTGTTAAAAGATTTTTAAAAACATTATTTGTGGCCTTTTTATATATGCTAAAGGGACACTGTCAGGTCTTTGATTTTAAACTTTTCGTTGTTCACACAGTACTCTTTCCACACGTCTTTGTTTTATTTATGTCTCATTTTATGTTCCTTGTCCTGTTTGTTGCCCAGTGTGTAATCACTAAAAGCTGTGCTCACAGTTCGTGTTAATGTGGCGCACCTGTAGCTGTGTTCTTGCGTCGATGTTGAAAGGGGTGACACTGACTTGGCTGTGTTTTCACAGTGTCCTTTTCAGCACAGTTACATGGGTCTCTGCCAGCTTCTCTCACTGTTAGAAGGCAGCAGCCTGTTAACATTACTGCGCTGGATGTTTGTTGATGTACAATGTGATATTTTATGTAAACCAACTTTGCAATTCCTTAAGCTAATTTTAAGAATTCAATCTTATTATAAGCTGTGTACCTAATTTTATTGCATTACTTTGTTCAGATGTGATGGTTAGTATTTTTTCACAATTCATTTCAAATCCATGTATCTATATAATTTCCCCCCTTGTCAGCATCATTTAACTGTCCCCTTAATGGTTGGATTTTTCTCTTTCATTGAAAATGTCAAGTCTTTATTCTGACATCACCAAATTTCCCATTTCTGTTAATGCTTCTGTGTACCTCTCAAATATTGAAAGGAAACTAGCTGTCAGCTTCAAGGATATCAAGTTTGAGTCTCCTAGTGTACAGTGTTGATTCAACCCTGAAAATACTATTTTTCTGTATTATAATTTTACTTGTGTTCTGTTTGCCACCTCTGTCGCTAGAGGTAGTTGTCATTAGACCTTACTAAGTTGATTGTCTCTGACGGGTAATTGTCATCATTGGTTCCTAAATAAAACATTCACCTTTTAAGGCAGAAGGAACCTAAGTACTTCCTAGGATTTGGTTTTGTTTTTAAGCCAGAGAGTAAGGAACTGTTTTGAAATGAGGTTTCAACAAAACTTTCTGTAAAATTTTCTACAAAACAACATAGATGACTTGAAGATATAATAATGTTTTAAATTATTTTTAAATATAAGTGAATTCTCAGACTTGGTAACTATTCTGAATATACTTCATTTAAGAATTCTTTAAAATTTTTCTAAAATTCAAAAATGTCCAAATTAGGCATATTACTGAGCTTAAATTTATTTGAAGTGCCATGGTTCAAGTTGAACTTTAAACATTTCAATTTAGGTGTAAATAATGTGATATATGCCTCATTGATGATAATGGGAACCCATGACATATTTAACCAAAGAATATATTTGGTTCAGGTGAAGATAGAAGCTTAATAATGGGCATCCATTTCTATTTTAAAGAGCACTTAGAGAAGAAATCTGTTTCTGGCCTGAAGTGCTCTATGTGGAAATCTTCATAAAGACCAAATACCCCAAGCCAGCTCCGCAGAGATCCCTGACCTGGGAGGGTAGCTTGTGCTTTACACCTTCAGAGAGGCTCCCTCCCATGCCACCTCTCCTTTCTCGCCCATGTGGCTTTCTCTTCACCTGTCCCCAGGCTTCCCAAGTCTGTGTCTGAGGCTTGTTGGCTATCGGGCACTGCCAGGTGTGTGCTCACAACTGACGCTCCTAGTCTGAAGTTCAGCACCACATCTGCACTATGTACCTACTGGGGATCTGACCTCAAGTGTGCTCTGAGTCCAGGCTGTGTGGTGTGGAGTCTTCTACCACAGAATTACTATGACAGATTGCAAATGTTCGTATTGTGATTTGGTTATCTGTACAAAGAAGCTTTCTACGCAGTGAGTTTGTGGTTTAATGGTCACAAAATGTTAGCACTGCTACAATTCAGTGCATGTAAATTTTTTAAATTTATAAATATTAAAATTTGAAACTTACACTAAGACTTTTCAGTTTTTTTAAGAGACCCAGGGATGAGTGTACTATTTAAATATTTACCTCTATTAACATAACTAATAAAGTTATAAAGTTCCAAGAGATGCTGCAATATCCTTTTAGGAAATAAGGATTGTGTTGAGCCACTTACAAGCTGAATATCAAACTGATAAATTTTTATTTGTATTTTTAAAATCCATACATGGGAGTTGAAATGTGTCTTTTCACTAAATATTTTATTACATTTTGCTTGGACCGTGTGTGATTTGTTCATGGACTTACATAGCCTGTTTCATGAGACATCTTTTTCTGGTGCTATTTCATTTACCATGATAGGGTGATTGACACTGGGAACATTGCACTGTCCTAGAAGACATGTGAGTGAAATCAAGGTTTGGGTTACTTTCTTTTTTCTTTTCTTTTTTTTTTTTTTTTTTTTTTTTTTTTGTCTTTTTCCTTTTTATTGGTACCGGGGATCGAACTCACGACTGCCTGCTTGCAAGGCAGGCGCTTATGCCGCTGAGCAAAACCTCCAGCCCCCATGGTTTACTTTCTGAGAGAGCCCCCAAGCCTTATAAAATGTGATATGCAGAAAAGAAACAAAAATTTATGTTTTTTAATATTTATCTCATCCCACATTTTAGAAACATTTTCAGAGTTACTATCTAAATCATCAGGTTTGGGACATAATTTTTAGTAAATATTAATACCATTCTTTTTTACCTTAAAGGGGAAGTGGAATGTTAACATTCTGCCCAGTGTTAGTCAGACTTTCGCCTTTCCCCCAACTAAATCTTGTAAAACATATGAAGTGAAAAATTAATTTTAACAGTACATTTTAAAGTACATTAATTTTTAATCTGAATTTACTTTGAGTATTGATTTATTTTTCATAAGATTGTATGACTCGATTATACTGTAAACATAGAAGAGTTGAGTAAATGTAGCATTTTGAAATTGTGTTTCTTCTCTCATTACTAAAGGTGGGGCCTTTAGTAAGCACAGGCGTGTCTGTCATTTGAGAACTATAGATGATTTTTAAAGTCCCAAATATAAAAATCTGGTTTCAGAAAAACATTCTTTAAAATAATGGTGCTGTCCAAAACTGCAACCAATTTTATATCAAATGGTTTGTGACTGATGCCTTTGACCTGCTGATTATTTTATGGGATGATTTTGTTCACTTTTTTAAAAACACAGGCTCCCAGATTGGGTCTTGTGCATTCTCAAGTGGCAGTTCAGTTAAACTTTATTAAAAAACAAAGTGGAAGCAAAGGGCATGTTTGGTGAGATTAAGGAGAGAAGCCTTCCTGGGAAGTTACCACTTCAGTGGCAGCCCTACGTCTCAATTTCAGCACGTGAAACAGCAGACCTCTTGAGTCTTTTCTGTGTAAATTATTTTTAACATCCAACATAAAAGTTACTTAAGGTTCAGTCATCAGTGTTGCCCAGAGAGATGAATGACAAACTTAAGTCACCAATGTGTATCTTTACTCCCATGGTAGCTATTGCAACATTGTGCAAGTTTTAATACTGTTCACTTCTGCCTCCTTTGCTAGGCTGGGTTTCAGATGCTCGAAGCAGTAGCAGTGGATCTTCTGGTAACTGCACTACCCTGCTGCATGGTCCTTTCTGAGAGAGCCAGCCTGCTAAGCCTGTTTGAACTGGTGGAGTCTAGACAAAAGGACCTGCATTCAGTCCCTAAGCCACTTGAAAATTGTGTTAATTTCCACAGGTCCGTCCTATGTTGCATATGATAAATTTTCCCAAAAAGTAATTTTAAAACATTGATGGAAGGGCTGGGGATTTAGCTCAGCAATATAAGCGCCTGCCTTGCAAGTACGGGGTCTTGAGTTTGATTCCTAGTACCAAAAAAAAAAAAAAAAAAAAAAAAAAATTGATGGAAAACAACCCACGTTGATGGATAAAGTATAATAGTAGATGCTTAATAAATTCCATTTTATTTCCTAATGACACACTTCACATTATTAGGCATATTCTAAAAAGTCTAATAACTTACAATTACTTTAAAATACTGCCATGTGTTCAGTACAGTGTGATCTTATAGCCCTAGCTACCACCACCACAATGGTTTGCCGTACTGTTCAGTCTTTTTTTTTTCAACTGAGAAAACCGACCTCTTTAAGTCAACTGTCTTAGTTCATTTGTGCTGTGGTAACAGTGTATTATTTGAGACTGTTAATTATGGAAAGCAGCCTGTATTTCTCAGTTCCCGTGGCCCGGAAGTCCACAATGGAAGCGTGCGTGTCTGGTGAAGGCTTTCTTGCTGAGTTTTACACCTCAGGGTGGAGGAGCAAGAGAGCTGACTCCTTCTTCAAGCCCCTGTGTAAGGGGACCTAATCCCATTACTGGGGGTCTCCTTAGCCTGGTGGCCTCTTGCCACCTCCCTTCTTGGTACTGTCACATTGGCAATGTCTTAATTTTGGAGAAGACTCATTGAAACCGTATTGGCAAACCTATGGCACGTGTGTTACTTGTTTTTCTTTTCAGACAAAATACGTTAATGCAGAGTTGTTTTTTCTAAACTAAAATCTCAGTATGCAGGTTTAACTGCAGTGTTGGCACTTTGCGAAAAAGAATTGGGCTTGGGTTGTAGTCTGGCAGTCTCTAAAACCGAGTCTAAAACTGTATGGCAGTTCATCATCATTGCCAAAGACTGCCCCTTGAATTTCTGCAGAACATGCATTTTTTTATTCCTACAGCAGTCTTAAGTGGGCTGGGGATTTAGCTCAGCGGCATAAGCGCCTGACTTGCAAGCACGCGGTCGTGAGTTCGATCCCTGGTACTGATAAAAAAAAAAAGTCTTAAGTTTCCTACAGTGATTCCATGCATCACTAGATTTTTTATTTATTTATTTATTTATTTTAATCGGTACCGGGGATTGAACTCACGACCGCCTGCTTGCAGGGCAGGTGCTTATGCCGCTGAGCTAAATCCCCAGCCCCTCATCACTAGTTTTTATAACTTAGCCTATTATCAAATAGGTATGAAAAATAAAAAAAGTTTTTTTAGTGTGTCAAATTAGAGGTTTGTTTACTTATTTTTTGGTACCAGGGATCAAACTTATGACTGTGTGCTTGCCACACAGGTGCTTATGCCACTGAGCCAGCCCATAGAGGCTTACTTAAAAAAGCAGTGTATGTTGTGAGGTTTAAAAAATTTTAATCAAGTTTTTCTTATTTAATAGTTTTTTCTCAAAGCATCTTAGAATAGAATTCTAGGGAATATCCTTTGCAGTGGTGTTTAGGATTATCTCAATCATTGGTGATAAAGGACTCAAAAATAGGAGAAAAATATCCTGTGCATTTGTAATATAGGAGGATAGATAAGTGATCAGGTAGGTAGATAGACTAATTGATTTTTTTTTTTAAGTGCAAGCATGCTGTGTGCTATAGTCCAGCTACTTGGGAAGCTGAGGTGAGGGCCCAGGAGTTCTACGCTAACCTGAACAACAGAGGGGAAGTGGGTACTGAGATTTAAGAGATTTTTTCCAGTCATCTCCATTTCTCTTTTTGGGGGGGGACAATTTCTTAAAAGTAGCAAGATGGCAGGGCATTGTAGTGCACATCTGTAATCCTGCACTTTAGGGGCTGATGCAGGAGAATGGTAGTGAGTTCAGCCTAGACGATAGTAAGTTCAAGGCCAACCTGGGCACTTTGTGAGACCTTGTCTCAAAAGCAAAACCAAAACAGTAGCAAGATGAACAAAAATCTGCTGAACATACACAAAAAATTTCCTGAATTGAAATTTGAAATCATCTTTCAGTTCCAGTTTAAATATACAAGTAATTTTCCATGATATTCCTACAGTAATTTCTTAAAAGAGTTGAAATGACAGTGTATTGGTTTCACTAGGAAAATACTAATCTTCATGTGTTACTGGGTTGCTTTCTGAGCAGTTCGCAAATACTGAGGTATAAGAGGTGGAGCTCTGTGAGACAGTGAGATACATAAAGGTAATGATTGCATCTTATATGCTGTTAAGCAGTGGAAACTTTGAGAGCTTAAAAGGATCCACTGTTTCATCCAAACACAGTTTGTTTCAACATACATTACACTGGGTTAGGGGCAGTGCTCGGGTTAGGGGTAAACCTAGGATTAGGTTTCCACCAGTTTACAGTTTGGGTTAAGGGTAGGTTTTGGTTTAAGTTTAGGCTGGGGTCATGCCACCCGAATGCACGCTGCTGCATCAGCTTGATCTGAGGATGAGCTCTGGGGCTGGGACAGGATGAAGGCCCCCACATTCTCAATGGCCTGAACTGCCTGCTATACATATGTGACTGCCCCATCAAATGGTTTGTGTCACACTCGTGACACACATGGATGTAATCAATTTTATTGGTCTTTTTTACTAATAAAATTTTTTAAAAATCTGTAAATGGATGGAACTTAGTTGCTTGAATAATTACTGTCCAAATAGAAATATTAATGCTATTTATAAAATTGTAAATTTATTACATTAAAATTTTAAAAAAAAATTTTTTTTGGCACCAGGGATTGAACTCAGGGCCTCATGCTGCTGAATCCCCGGCATTAAAATAAATTTTTTAAAAAATAAATTTATGGGGCCAGAGGTTTAGCTCAGCGGCATAAGCACCTGCCTTGCAAGCAGGCGGTCGTGAGTTCAATCCCCGGTACCGATAAAAATGAAAAAGACAAAAAATAAAAAATAAATAAATAAAATGAAATTTATATTCATACATTTCTTCAAAATGTTTTATACATAAAGGCAGCTGTTTTATGCTGCATGTAGCATTTTCTTTTCTTTTTTTTTTTTTTTTGTCTTTTTGAGACAGGGTTTCTCTATGCAGTTCAGGCTGGCCTTGAGCTCACTTTGTAGCACAGGCTGGTCTCGAACTCAAAATGATCCTCCTGCCTCAGCTTCCTGTTTGAGTCACCACACCCAGCGCATGTGGCATTTTCTGCTGCCACAGTGGCGCCCATTGTTTCAGATAATTTTCACTAATGTTCTTTGCTTGCACGCATTTCTTGCTGATCTCAAATAAGCTTTTATGAAGCAAATGTTTTTGCAAGTAATTTGCATCCCTAACATTTCTTCATAGGTTAATAGTTTATCAGTGATTAATTCTTTAGATTTTAATATGGAAATCTTACAAGTAGTCCATTGCTAGTGTATAGAATGTGCATTTACAATTGCTGTACTAAAGTTAGTTGTACAGAGACTTTTAAACTATAATATGGTAACATCTGGCCTGCTAACTCA